TTGCTCTCAACTGCGCCTCAAGCTACTCTTACACATTATTTGTGCACTCCAAACTTCCTGCATGCATCCTTAACTCGATATATGCATGCTAAGCATTAACAAATTCTTAATTTTCCAAGGATGTGTAATTGAGAGCAAAATATAATTGATTTTACTTATTCAGGAGGATTTGTGCTATACATGCACCACTTTCTCCTATTTATATAGCTTTGTGACACATAAAGGCATCAAATCATATAAAGATTCCATTGAACCCTTGAACTCCTCAGATCCAATTAGAAATTCTCCCAACTGGCTGCCATACATTTAACTTTTAAAGAAGATAAGAGAATTTGGTGTTTTATCAAGTTGACTCCATCAAGCTGATAGGGGTGTTTGTCCTCATAACCTGTTTGCAAGATAAAACATATTGAAACTGCAAGGAAAAGTTACACATTAATCACTTACCTCACTATCTATACCAGCCATTATCTTTTGGGTTTGAGGAACTTCATGCTGTAATGGTCTCCGTAGTGCAAACACAGGTACCCTACAAATAATATCTCTAAAAGTAAAAACTGACTATGAATGTAATGTTTACAAAAACTTTCACAATTCACAGTGAAGACAAGGCAAGGATAAAACTTCCAAGAGACATGGAAGATGCAAAAGGATTAGGAAGAGCATTGTCCAATTACACAGATGAATATTTCACTCAAGTTCTTCTAGGCTTTGTTGTAATTTATATTTTGTATCCTTTTCATGAAGTTTTTGTTTTGTTTTTTTGAATTTTTTCCATAGTAAATTTATGCACTGTAGAGAATTAGAATTTTATTTTGGATTGATATAGAGTTTCCCATGTTTCAGCTTTTTGTGAATACTTGTTAACCCTTTGGGAGACTTGTATCTAATCGCTCCTCACAATATCATCCCCCAATCAAACATTTAGATCACAAGAATAAAGGAAATGATCGTCTACTGATGGAGCTCTTGATTGTTAAACAAATTCTCCTTGTCAGCACCTTAGGGAATGTACAGAGCACAGTATGGAGAATATGCATACTGATACTAGTTTATATTAAGGGTTAGTTAGCTGAGGTTTTACATAGTCATGAGGTGCAAGATTTAAGAATTCATCATGAGTTTCTTGTTTCCTTTATCTCATGGTTTTGTGATGGTTAATGCTGCAGTGTTTTCTTTAACCTTTCACACAGCTTGCAAACATTTGCTATACCAGGATCAATATTTCTCAGTATTTTATCAGGATTTTTATTCCCTTTTCCTTTAGCTCTATTTTTTGTTTGTCTGGTAAGTTAATTTGGATTTTAAGGTTTAATTGATCCTAATTTTTGAAACACTCAGAAATCTACAAAGTGTATCCAAGGTCTTCTTTACCATATTTGTTTTATTTTTTCTTACTCAGAACGTGAATTGTTTCTGTTTTACAGTGTTCCAGTGTAGGTGCATCATTCTGTTATTTATTGTTCTACCTGGTTGGTCGAAGGCTGGTAAAACATTATATGCCAGAGAGAGTAGATCAGTGGTGTGAACAGGTACTTCCATTTACCTATTTTTAAGTATTTGATTGTACTATCCATTTCCTAATTTTCCTAATTTCCTTATTTTCTCATCCATGCTACATCTTTCTTTTTCTTCGTGGTTCTTTGGTTTGTTCCCTTCACTAATAAATACAAGCTCTGTCTCTCAACAATGTCAGATTTAGAAACTCTTTACATTGGCCTATTTACATTATCAACTCAGTTGATAAAACCAGACTATCTTGTAATATCCCCTTGGGATGTAGCACCACAGTTTCCTTAAAAACTTACTCCTTTAAATTTATTATCGGCATAATGATTGACGGGGAATGAGTGGATAAAGAACATTTTATGGATGCACCACTGCTAAATTATATTCATATAATTATTTAGTTAATTATATTAATATAATTTCAGTTGTATATTATTGGAATTTATAACTTTTGCATTTTATATTTTGTCACAGGTTAACCATCATCGAGACAACCTCCTAAGCTACATTATATTCTTGCGCATCACTCCTTTTCTTCCCAATTGGTTCATCAACATTTCTTCTCCAGTGATAGGTGTCCCCCTTTTGCCATTTTTTGTCGGCACTTTTGTAGGTAAGTCATTTTAAAAAATTAATAACGTCACCTCGATAATGGCCAAGATGTGTTTCATGAACTTGCAATTCTTGTAAAAGTTTTGTAGCAGTTTCTTAGTGTTATGGAAATCAGTTATTTATTGGCTATTATGAAGAGTTGCAGACATTTTCATTCTATTTTATGTTAAGTTACTTTTAGTGGTGATTGTGCCTATTTCAAAAGTTACTGCCATACTTGAATTCAACTCACATTCCCCTTTCCAAAAACAAAAAACAAAATACACTTATTTGGGCCCATTTATTAGTTATATTTTGTTTTTGCATAGGTGGCATAGTGTAGATTAATTTTTGCTTTGAATATCATTTTTTAGGTGTTGCTCCACCATCTTTTGGTTTTATCAGTGCAGGAGTTGAACTGTATGTTTTAACAACCACAGGGGATGTTATGTCATTCAAGTCCATCATGATTGTGGTTGTGTCTGCTCTTCTGTCATTAGCTCCAGTGATATTCAAAAGACAACTTAGGGCAAAGATAGAATAAAATAGATAATTTTTGTAATAGCTTATTTTAATTGATTTTGCTCAATAATTAGTTAAATGTGTATGGGAGAGAAAACGTGTATTCATTGAGATGAGAAAAAATTTTCTCTTACAATTTTTGTAAGTACTAGTAATGTAGGGGTTTCATTGAAAGTTGGTTACTGGCAGTCCACAGTCACCTTTTAACCCTTTAACTCCAAAGAGTGACCAAGACAGAATTTCTCCTTACTATCTCTATACAATATCATGCAGACAAGTGATGAGGATAAAGAAAAATATCCATTATGGGATTACTAATTGATCCAATAACAAATTCTCCAAACTAACATAATGAGAATCATTTGGCAGATAGTAAGGAGAATTACCAATGAGATCTTGGGAGTTAAGGGGTTAAGACGTCTTGTCACTGTCTGTTTAGCCTGCAAGCAGGTTCTCTTGCTAAGGTTTTGCCTTATAATCACTTTTCTGGGCACAACTGCCTATTACACCTGAGGCAGCCACTTAAGGAAAAAGTTACTGGTGGTAGCAATGAGTCATATTTAGCAAGACCATACTCGTTCCTTGGCCATTTCAGTATAGCCAAACTATTTGATGTCATGTGATCTAAGTAAAAAATTCAGAGCAGGACTTTGACTTAGGGTGCTATAACAAAAGACCATTTTGGAGTTCAGAAGCCTCACTTTTCTAGGGAGAAGTGTAAAGACTTTCTGGTGAAAGTAAGTCTGAGTACAAAATATTAATCCACATCAAAATAAAACGTTTTTGTCTTCACTCTTATTTTGAGCGAAGGGTTTGTGCATCTCACAATGGTTATTACTATTGACTCTAATGGTCTGGTTGTAAGCTATTCAAAACTCCAGTATGTATGGTAAAGATACTGAAAAATCTAAATGTTCTGGGGTTTGGAGAATGTTGTTGTAGTTGCTGTTGATTTTTCTTTTTTTGAGCAAAAAATGCCTCAAGGGTTTTAAAAGAAATTCTGAGTAATTTAGGCTTTTGCTTTTGGTAAAGATGCTGTTTGTTTGCTAAGAGTATGATTATTTAATATGCATTTATGTTTTCAGGATTTTATCAGCTGCTTGTAATATCTGTACAAGAGGGACCTAATTTATTGCTAAAAAGTTCTATTATTATGGAACAATAAATTTTGAATTGAAAATACTGCCACTGTTATCATACTGTGGTGTTCCTATCATTTGACTTATTGAATGTAATGTTTCAGAGGAACAGAGTTGTTGAGACCTGTCATCATAGTAGTCATGAGAATAAATTCCTTTCACATTGTATTTATTTACTGGATAATCTCAAGCTTAAATGTACTTTAAAGTCTAATGCTGTTATGAACATCAATGTTAAGGTTATTAAACATGTTTATTTTCATCTGAATATAATACAATGTTTGGTTAGATATTATTTATTAATGGTGGGTTTTTTCCTTTTTCCCACACTTCCTGTTTTGTTATTTAGACAGCTGTACTGTCATACAATCATTCTGTGTTTTTTATCACCTTTTGACCCCAAAGAGTGACTAACAACTAATTTCTCCTTACATTATAACCCCTGAATCAGCACCAACCAAAGAAGCTCTTGATTGTTAAACAAATTCTCTTTATTAGTACCTTAGAAAATGTGTAAAGAAAAGTCAGGAGAATATATGTACTGATGTTAGAGTGTAAAGGGTTAAAATACCAAGTAATAATGTTATGGTTTTGGAAGATGTTTTATAATTAAATTGCTTCAATCACGGAAAAAGAGGAGACTCTTCTCCAGTTATTTCTTGACCCTCAGGTTTGACATAAAGCCTACAACAAACGATTTACGGAAGGGCGACGTGTTGAAAAAATCTTAGCTGTTTTGTCGCGACTCTCCTGAATCTCTTCTCTTTACTCTTACCTTTGACCTTGTGGAGTCTGGGCTCTAACGAAGACTCGATTGAAATATGGCGACTGCGATTTGAAATCACAAAATATTTTTTTTAACTTCAAAAAAAGGTACCGAGGTAAAATTGAAAATATTGTAAGAAGGTTTTATGTTAAAATTCAAGCGTCTAATTTTAGCGGCCATAAAGTTCCAGGAGCAGAGGACCACTCTTGTATCTTCAGTACATATTATTCGACGGACTTGCTCTTCCGTAGTGTCTTCTGACGAATTTTTGGATAAAATGTCTGGAAAATCCATGCCAAAATGGATACAGCCCAAAGGGAATGGGGAACTTAAACTTTACAACAGTCTCACTCGTGAGAAGGTGAGAATTTTTCCTTTCATAGTATTTTTGTTGTTAATTTTTCGGTATATGAACAATCCATGTTTAATCATCGAAATCTGATGCAATTATTTCTGTGATGGAATCAGCCAATCGCAATTAGATACGTCTTTTACAAATTATGTCCTTGTCAAAGAGAGTCACTCTTACTAGTCCTAGATATTTTGTGTCCTCATTTATTACAAATCTTTTATTTACAGATAGCTTTACAATATATTAATTCTTTTGATGAACGAAATTTTTCCTTAGCTCGTTTCCGGAAGAATCGATATTTCATTTTTCTTAAAAAAAAAATAATACAAAACAACTTTGGACACAGAAGAAAAATTAATTTCAAGTTAAAACTTGCTGAAAGCAAAAAGGTAACCATTTTTCAACTGATGACTGAGTTTATTTTATGCCCATCCCAAGTGTTAACAGACATACCTACTCAGTAGGGGCTCTGAGAATTCTGAGTTCTTTCCAGCCTTAACCCTTAATAATCTAAAATCAGTATGCATATTTCCCATACTGTTCTCTAAACATCTCCTAGGATGCTGACATGGAGAATCTGTTCAACAATCAAGAGCTTCTTTAGTTGGTGATCAGCTCCTTTATTCTCCTGACATTAATGTTTGATTCAGGGGTGATATGGTGCGGAGAATTTAGATGCCTGTTACTCTTTGGGGTTAAAGGGTTAAGGTGAAGTGATGGGAATTTAGTAAATGAGCTTGCAGCATGATGTGAATGAGTGGTCAAGATGTAAGGCTCACAATCTAGGGGTTTAGGGTTCAAGTCCCACTCTGATGGCCATGCAGGGTCAGGTTGTTCCAAAGCGGTTAAACATCAATACTGGGATAAATGCATACAAAACCTATATGTTACCATGACATTGAAACCAGGGTTAGAGCTAATCATGCTTTGCACAGTAGCCCAGGTGGATTTGTCTCAGAGCAGTACTGAATTCAAATCCTTGCCTAGGATTGAAAATAAATAAAGGGGGTAAGTTTCTAAAGAAACTGTGGTTCTGCGTTGGTAGGAGAGTATAACAGGGTAATTTAGTATTAACTGAGTTGGGAATTGGGTGATGAGAAAACAAGAATAAATTTAACTAATTAATTCTTGTTTTCTCATCACCATTTTCCCACCAATAGTGTAGCTCCATTTTCTTAATATAAACCCACACACAACCCACAATTCCTCTAATTACTCTTACGAAGGGCTAATGCTCTAAACATCAGCCTTTAAACTCTTTACAGTGGCAATTTACATTTTCAACTCAGTTGATAACATTAAATTACCCTAAAATTGAAAATAGCCAACTCATTTGCCTCCTCCCTGTTGGGTTTGTAATTATATTGTGATTGATTTGGATTATGATATTAAGTTTATCATTGCTTTTACTACTGTTGACTTTTTTCCTCTATAAATAGAACCTATTACTAGTGACTGTATATTTTCATTTATTTATTTATTTATTTATTTATTTCTGCCTGCTAGAATGTGTTTGTACCACAGAAAGGCAGAAGAGTGTTTTGGTACAGTTGTGGGCCTACAGTGTACGATGCATCTCACATGGGACATGCAAGGTACAAGCTTAAATATATTCATGGTCTTAAACAAAATATCATTGAATTTCTATGTTGAGCTGAGAAAATTCTTTTGTGAAAAATAATATCTTTGAGGTTTAATTGTAAATCCAGATTTTCATTGTACAGGGCTGGACATAGAAATGATATTTTTATGGTCTACTTCTTGTTGTACATTATTTCTGGTTTCCTCTAATGGATAATGAAAGTTTTGTTTATTAAAATATATCACTGAAATATTAATGGTAGGGAAATTTATAACAGATTTCTAGCACAGTGATCAGCTGCGCATAAACTCAACTCAGGGAAATAACCTTTAACTCTTTAACTCCCTATATCTGATTGCTTATTCTCCCCTCTAGCTTATGCACATTTCCTTGTAAATAAATAACCAGAATTTGGCATTAAATCAACAACTTCTACCTGATAAGTTTGAGTATTCCCATTACCTGTTTGCTGGATAATGTGTGGATATTTTAGGGAGAGGTTACTGGTTAATCACTTCTGGGAGTTAAAGGGTTAACCATTAAAAAATGAAGGAATTACTGTCAGACTCTGAAAACCATTTAACTATGGACTGTCTGGAATTTTCATAATGGAAGATTATTTTACATGGGGCATCTATCTGAGCAAACTATAAACCACAAATTAATAGCATTTCTGCACCTGATTGACTTGCATTGTTCACCACAGTCATATATTTGAAATATTTCCAATGTCCATGGTTCTCTGAATCTTAAATACAATTTTTACAAATTTTCTGGTAATATTACTTTCATTTTTCTCTTCCATATTTCAGGTCTTACATCACTTTTGACATTTTACGAAGAGTACTTCAATCTTACTTTAACTACGATGTGTTTTATGTGATGAATATAACAGACATTGATGACAAGGTACCTGGTTTTTTAAAATTTTTTAATGCAGCTGATTTATCAATTTGCTGCAAAATGTTTTCTCTTGCCCTTTGGATAGTTGTAGTGGTCCTTAAAAATATTCTGCTAGATTGTTCACACAACTGCATAATTTGCAAACGTTCCTCTGTGTGGATTTGGTGAATGACTTGATTAAAAACTCTTAAACTGGAAAGAATATTTTTTTCTTCAGCAGTGAACTCCTCTTTTTCCCAACCAATGATGTTGATTTTTGATAGTTTGTATAATTATATTATTTTAGTTTAAGTTATTTGTGGTTAAAATGAATTCATACTAATATTATCTCAGTGAGGTGTTTTTGTTTAAGGATTAATGTAATTGAGAAAAAATAATACAAATTAAACTAGTTGGAAACCAATTGTAACCTTACAGATTATCTTCAGAGCAAGGCGAAACCACCTGTTAGAGAAGTATGTTGAGGAGGCAAACCCTCCAGACAAAATATTAGATGATGTGAACTCTGCATTGGGGGTATGTTTGGTAGCTTAGAGTGAACTAAGGAATAGCTGTGAAACTGAAATTTAAGCCCTAAGAAATCTTATGCGTGTATAATTTTCCTTAATTTTCTCATCATGTTTGTACAAATTTAAAGTTCAATATCTGTAGCACTATACTCCGTACCACTGCCATTATTTTATTACCATTTCTGTTGCTATGCTCTAAAAATCATTCCCTGCATAATGCACCACAAAAAATTGCTAAAATTCTAAAACCTAAAATCCTGAATGTTTTTATTTCTAAAATAATAATCCCAGTTTTGAAAATATTTGCATGTATTTGTGTTATAATGATTATTTAAACCCCTCCCTTTTAGGATTGGCACAGGATCTTGTTTCTGTTTGTTTTCCTTTTTTGTACAGTTCATTACAAAGTTCTGCATAATTTGATTGTTTTAGCCGTGTAACTTAATGCTTGTTCATTTGGTACTTACGTGTAACTTAAATAAGTTTTCCTTTACTTCCAGCCATATTCTGCCAAAATGGACAGTACCACAGATGCAGACAAGAAAAATATGTATTTTAAAATTATTGTAAGTTGTGTCATTTATTTTGTAGAATTTGATGTACAGAATTTTGCTAATGTTAATTCTTTTGAAATGCTTCTGAATTAGAAGATGAAATTATAATTTTTTTAGGCCTGAGTGGTATTTTTTTCTTCAAGGAAAAAGTGAAATTGTGTCATTCAAGATTAAAAGAACTACTAACAACAAACAGCAGCTCTGATGAAGTTGTCAGATCAGCAACTCAGGTGAATTTGTGATAACTTTATTTTTTTGAGGGTGGTCCAGCATAGGTTACCCCCCCCCTCCCCCACAGTATTTTGTCAGGCTTCAGATCACTGGTACCTACTTATATACTTGTGGGTGGAAATTCAGTGGTACAGTGAGAGTGAAATGTCTTGTCTAAGAAATCGAAAGAATGACCTGGCCAGGTCTCGAATGTGGACCTCTTGACTTGGAGTCCATCATGCTGACAGACAGTTCTCCTGGTCTCTTTTTTTCAAAACTGTTAGCATAAATGGATCAAAACCAGGGATCAATAATCATGTGTACAATGTGATCATCTGAAGAAAAGTAGTTCTGAGAGGGATTGATATCAGTAAGAGTGACTAGGGTTTCAACAACCCTCTAAAGTGGAAGTAAAAGATTCCTCACTAGTTCCCTGTTACCAACTTCCCTTGCAAACATACAATTTAACAGAACACTTAATGGTTATCTTTTTTTTACTTGACCTAGGGCTTAGTATAGAATTAAATAACAACAGCATGGGTTATACACAGGCTGTCCAACAGGCTGCCCAGTAGGAACTGAACACTAAATAGATATTAAATTTACATAACACTTTAAAATTAGTTGGAATTTTTTTCTTTATTATTTGACACAGGAGTTGTTGCGTCAGGCAAGTGAACCTCTATCAGCCTGGCTAGACTCTCAAGTAAGATACTCTTTTTGACAGTGGCTTGTAATTGTTAAATTTCAATATGAGATTTTTTAAGCTTTCTAACAAGTGGTATTTCTTCCTTTTTCCCAGTTTGGATCAGATGTGACAGACCACAGAATATTTGCAAAGCTCACCCAGCACTGGGAGGATGAATTTCACAAAGACATGGAAGCTCTTAATGTACGTCAAACTTTTCCATGCAAAAGTTCATCAAGAATTTGCTGCTTGCGAGGAACATTCTTTGTTCATTTGAATTATAATTGAAATTTGGAGTAGTTAGTAAAAAATTTTGTCAAAGCTTCCAACTCAACAAAGGCGCCATATTTGATAATCTGAAATCTTGAAATGGTTGCCAGACCTAAACATTTATTTTCCATGAAACGGGAAAGAAAGGCTTATTACACTTTCATCCTTTAACTCCCAAGATCTCCCACACCCTCTTTGAAAATAAATTATAGGAATGTGGTGTTAAATCAAGGTAACAACTTCTATCTGATAAGTTTGAGTATTGTCATCACCTGTTTACTGGATTGTGTATAGATATTGTTGGGAAAAGTTGCATGTTAATCACTTGTGGGAGTTAAATGGTTTACTGTGGACCATAATAAGAGCATGTCACCTTGCTACATGACTGTTGAATTGACTTTTGAATCGCTAACTTTGTGGTTAATTTTTTTTGGTACTTTTTATGGCAAATGAAATGGTCACCATTTGGGAGGTTGCTAGAAGTATTGATTAAAATATTTTTATTTTTCTTTCAGATCCTTCCAGTGGACTGTTTAACACGAATCACACAGTATGTGCCTGAGGTGGTAACATTCATTCAAAGAGTTATGGACAATGGATATGCGTAAGTTTGCTTTCATTGGCAGAATAGCTTTTCAAAGTAGGTGGCTCCCCCTTAAAACTCAGATTAATTGTAAAAAAGGAAGAAAGAAAGTTAAGCAAGGGTGGTGAAGCAGATGGTGATCTTCACTGGCAGCTGCCCAGAAGTTTGGAACAAGTGAGGAAAGAATGACAAGAGTCCCTTACAAGGCTTAAAATTTTTGCAGCAAGAGTTCTCCTGGTGTAACATTACTGTTTTTGCTAAAGAAATTTTTAAATTATCAAATTGAGTTAATTTTAATTTTTGAAACTTGTTGTAGGCAACAAGAAACTTAAGTTTGCAATATCATGTCAGGTGCAATACTCAAATTTGAAAATATCCCATTTATATAAAAGGAATTTTACTCACTGAATTAAAATCAATCCTTTAATCATCGTTGATCCCAGTTGTTTTTTCCCTCTTGTGCTCTCTGCAGTTTCTGTGCCTTGTCTTCTCAGTATGCTCCAGCCTTGTGTGCCCCAGTAGCATAAAGTTAAACACACTTAGTGTGTAGTACACACAAAGGTGGTCTCCCCAACTCAGGTTGACCCTAACATCTGTCTTATTTTACTTCAGGTATGAATCAAATGGCTCTGTATATTTTGACACCATCAAGTTTGGCTCTGGTGGTAAGCATGCATACGCAAGGTTGGTACCTGAAGCAGTTGGTGATCTGGACGCATTGGCAGAGGGAGAAGGTACAACTTTAATTTGTACTTAAGAGATAGGCAAAAGATGCAAATCAATGCCAAACAAGTCTGTCATCATAAAATTTAATGAGTGAATAAAAATTTTAAAATTTGATTCATATTGGGGGAATTGTTATCCCCTGATTCCTTTCCAATTGAAATATTTGGAGTGTTAATTTGTGTGAAAGAATGAAAAAAAAAAAAAGAAAATGAACCCTGAAGGAAAACTCATGGAGTTAGGAGAAGGATCAATTTAAAAAAGGCAGACCTTGTGGGCTTGTGAATCTAGGTTCAGAAATTTGAGTGAGGGCATAGCATTGGAAGGCAAGCACCTCCAACATTATGCCTGCATCCTATATCCTCTTCATCCCCTGACTACTTTGTGTTTCTATTTGTGATTAGGAGAACTAAGTCAAAACCCAGGAGACAAGAAATCTGAACGCGACTTTGCACTGTGGAAAGCCAGTAAACCAGGTGAACCTGCTTGGGACTCTCCTTGGGGAAAGGTAACCATTGATGGGAACAAGGGTTTTTCTTAATATTATACCCACAGATTCTTGCTACAACTGGAAATAAACTATTTTTTTGTAAACACTTTTTCAACTACCATTCATTAGTGTCTGAACTTAGGGTTAATTCAGGAAGAATTCAATTTCCTGTAGTTGATAATTAATAATTGATTTTTGCTATAGGGCCGACCAGGATGGCATGTAGAATGTTCTGTGATGGCAAGGTTTGTTACTAGTTTAAGATAATACATCATTTTTTCCTCTTGATATCTGTAATCCATCTTCAAATTGATAAATGTATTTATTTTGATAGTGAATTGGGATGAAGTGGCCAGGGTAGCTAATAATTTCAAACAACGAAATGATCTCAAGAAGTGAACTGCAATTTAAGAGAGGGAGATTCCTTAACAGGGTGCAAAGGACTCAATGATATTTCCCTGCTCCCAAAATGACTTCATAGCTCAGTTTGTAGTGGTACCCACATACTTTCAACCTTTCAACCTGCCTTGGGAGCAAAAATTGTGTTCGAATGCATATGCCCCACCCAATTTTTTGTTGTAAAAAGGCAAAATCAGCAACCATGACTTTCTACACATTCACTAAGCTTTTGAACTTACACCTTTACACCTTTTCCTCTTGAACATTGGCATGCAAAAGTGAACTATTTGCCCTTAAACACCTCCATTTTTAAGATATAACATGTTCCATTTGTTCCATTGGAAAGACTTGACATTTCCAGTTCAAATTCCCCACCATAGCCAGGCAAGATTCAAATCCTGTACCCATCAGGTACAGAAAATTAAGCCTTGAAAAATGACCAGCATGGAAGGAAATAGTTGAACATGCAGGCTGAAAAATTGAATGAGATAATTTGTTATCAATGATTTTGTCTTTGTCTCTTTCAGTGAGGTTTTAGGTAGCTCCATTGACATTCACACAGGTGGAGTGGATTTGAAATTTCCTCATCATGACAATGAGCTGGCACAGTCTGAGGTAAATATGATATCCTAAGTCTTGTACTACTGGAAAAAGGGCTAATAGTCAGATCTTGAGGGTGCAAGCTTGGTGTGAAGGTTCAATATGTGCCGGATCTCTGCATTGAGGAGATCAACTAATCAGTCATACCTTGATGACAGTGTTAGCAAAGACCAAAAACAAAAACTCCTTGTGTTTCTTACAGGAAAAGGTTATTAACTACAGTGATTTGAATCACAACTGAAAATATGAAATTATATTTTAGATAAAATGGAGCAGAACATGGTTGTTAAATTAAAATTATTCGTGGAAATTTAGCTGTGGGTGGAAAGAGTTGCCAAGGTAGATTTGGTACACCATGCCCAGAGGCACATTTCTATAAAAATTAATTAGGTGGTTAAAGAAATGATTTTTTGCCATCTTCATAAATAATCAGTTTTCATGATTAATGTTGATCTGAACAGAGTAGATCTTTTTAATGAGTAATGATAAAACAGGTCACCTTGCAATAGTGACTTCTTCAAAATTTTTCTTCAGGCACATTATGGTGTGTGCCAGTGGATACATTATTTCCTCCATGCTGGTCATTTAACTATCGAAGGATGTAAAATGTCCAAGTCTCTGAAGAATTTCATCACAATCAAGGTACATTTTCCTGTCCAATTTTTTTCTTTGTCAGTTGTTAAGTTTAACACTGTCAGGAGGTTGTATTGTAAACAGGGTTTGTGTGGCCATGGTAACTTGAAAAGTCATGAATTTTTGTGGTATGTTCCAGGTCTTGAAAGTCATGAAGTGTGTGTCTTGGTAATGGAAAGTCAAGAATAATAACCTAGGAGGATTTTTTTCTCCAAATTAAACAAGAAATTCTCAAGGAAATGCTTATGTTCTTCTTATGTTAAAACAAACCTCAGCATTACACTTCACAGAAAAGTTTGAAAAAGTCACTGAATTTTGTAAGCTCCAAAGGGTGTAAACCTTGTATGAAAAAAAACATTTTAATAAAGAGTCTGACTCATTGAATCTTTCATTCATCTCTCTGGCATTTTCAGGAAGCATTGGCAAGAAATTCTGCCAGACAAATCAGACTTGCCTTCCTTCTCCATGCCTGGAATGCTACTCTGGACTACAGCGAGAATGTGCTTCGTGAAGCTGAACAGACCGACAAGCTATTTAACGTGAGTCTAGGCGGGTATTTTTGAAACCCTAATCCTTTAACTCCCAAGATCGTATTGTTAATTCTCCCCTCTGGCTGCAACACATTTCTTTGTAAGTTAGTTACGAGAATTTGGTGTTCGATCAAGATAACAACTGTTACCTGATAAGTTTGAGGTTTCTCATCACTTGGTTACTGAATAATGTATCGATGTTGTAAGGAGAAGTAACATGCTAATCACTTCTGGGAGTTGAAGGGCTAATATTATCTCATATTGGGTGACGTGTACATCAAGTTGAGTTTCTCGCACAAATTAAGTAAGTGGCCTTTACAGCAGAAACTTATCTTTGTTTCTATAGCATCCAGTGGCTAGGTGTATTGCTTCTTGGCCTGTGCAACTGTTCAGTAATAGATCACAGATGACGTCAAAATGTGATAAGATCAAAAAGGTGGCACAGGAGGCGAGTGTGTCACTGATGTTCTTACCACAGTTTGACGTCTTTTGTAAAGTCATTTTTAACTGAACAGACTCGCAGCAACAAAAACTGTCAATGATGACGTCATTTGTGTGTCTGTCCTCCAACAGAACATGCGTAAGAACCATTCAAAATGCGTGCGTAATTCAGCTTATTATAAGGTTAACCCCAGCGATATATCTCTTTCCTGGACAGTTGGCTGTTGTCTATGTAGTCTACGTATACTCCTGAGTAAACAGAGGCACTGTGAGAGTAAAGTGTTTTGCCCAGAACACAGCACACTGACTCCCAGGGCTTTAGCTTGACCTCATATTCGCAGATCCTGCTCTCCATTTATGAGACCACTCAGTCTCTCACCTGTGATTGTCTAAAAACCATTGTTGTTCTTGTCTCGCTTTTCAGGATTTCTTCTTGAACGTAAAGGATATTCTTAGGAGACCAGAGGACACAACACCATCAGCGCACAACTATCATGAGTTGGAGAAAGATCTCCAGGACAAGTATGGATCACTCTGCTTTCCAGTTCTCGCATGGATCTATTAAGGAATTCTTTCTTCTAACTATCTATTTCTTATACATATGCCTTTTAAGGGAGGCAAACATCACCGTGTCGCAGTCAAGTTCATCCATTCCCATTTCCTGTCTGCTGGCCAGATGTATTAATGATGTAAAAAAAAAAGTTTTAAGTTGAATTGATGAATCAATATTGGTTTTTATGGGTTCCGCAGTAACTAGCTGAATGCAAAAATCTGCAGTGTCCTTTTAATGCTTAACAAGCAAAATGAGAGACGGGAATGGGCGGGAGAGGGGGGGGTGATGGTTTTAAACTTTCATATCTCAAGGGAGGGGAGGTATAGGTGTGAGCCATCAAGTTGTAACCAAAGGGAAATCAAAATCTGGTTGTGGGGGTATTAATCAGTTCCGTTATTTTGTAATTTGTTTCCAGGTTCCTCGGTAAAAAGGCGGCAGTCCATGAAGCTCTCTGTGGTTAGTGTAAATATAATTTTCCCCTTACATCCTGAAAGTTGTGGTATCACATTGAACTGATTAATGACATGTAAGATTTATACAATTGCAATGGGACGTTTGCAAATTTGAAGGACGAGAGTTGTCTCTTCATTTAAACGTAGTGATTTGTTTCCCTGCTTGCATGTGGGATTAACATACGTCTGCCCCCGATTTACTCCTACCTGCGGCTTCACTCTGTTTATATTTTAAGAAAAAATTCTGTGGACTGCAGTAAAAAACCGTGAATCTTCTTGAGACGTGATGAATATTGAGCACCTAATAATAAATCATCACTTTCTTCCCAAACTTTCATGACTGTTATCGAGAGCTGGCGTTACTCTTTGTGGGTGCTTGCGTGACGTCTTTTGACAGCTTACGTGAGTTCCCTGGGACATATTTCATTCCTGTTTTTGTGTTTTTGTTGTTGTTTCTAGATTCAATCGACACACCCAGTGCACTTCGACACATGCAAGAACTTGTGAAACTAACGAACATCTACATTAGTGGCAAAAAGGAGAAAAAAGAATCTTCAAATCACCAGCTCTTGGAAGGAATTGCTAAGTATCTGACTCACATGCTAAAGGTTTGTACCCCATAAATGTAGCATCAGTGTTTGGTATCGACTGATTCTTCTTATCGAATCTTATTCAAGGTATCGTTAAAAAAAAATCCGTGCTAATAAATGGTGCGAAACCTTTTTGATTCAGATTTTTGGAGCAATCGATGAGGAACAAGCCATTGGTTTTCCAGTCGCTGGAAAATCTGCTGCAGCTAATGTAAGATATCTTTCTATTACATATTTTTTATGTGTTTGATTATTTATTGGTACATTTAATTTAAATTTCTTGTGCTCTAGTTGCAATAAGGAAGTTATGTCAGTGAAATGGTTGTTGTTGAAAGGGGCAGACTAGAAGGTTCCATTGGGCTTTTCAGCAGTAGTTCAGGGATTTTAGTTTTCACGGTCTACTTTTTGGCCAATTTATTTTCCTTTTTTCCGTTATATTTTTATTCACGTTGTGGGGTTTCCGTAAACGGTCGTAAGTGACCGTTTAGAACTCGAAGAAGGCTCGGTGAAAAGTTTTAATTGCGACAAACTCGCTATTGCATCTGATTATCCGAAGAACTCCTGCTAAAATCTTTGCCTCTTTAGTTTCAACTTTATGGAACAAGTTTCAATAATTTCATGATTATTGCCAGTAAAATTCACCGACTGTCAAGTCAAATTTCGTTTTTTTTTATTATTATTATTCAATTGAGATCAGCATGGTTAACTTAAACAAGAATTTTTATTTCTATTTCAGCATGAAGAAGTTGCCATGCCGTATGTTCAGCTACTTGCTGATTTTAGAGAACAAGTCAGGAATGTTGCGCGGGACGAAAAAGGTGAAACTAAGTAATTAACGGCGAGAGAGGATAAATAAATTATCCTCTCTTGATGCCGGTTAAAAGTCTGGTCTGCCTGTGCAGTTCTTAACTTTGGGTAACTAAACAAAAGGACACAGACCATGCCAACAAAATTTTTTGAAAATTGGTTGGAAAAGTAAGGTCAAATATTTTTAGAAACTTGGAAAATATGGAAGATCGAATCGTGGCTCTGAAAATTTTCTTTGTGCCTTCGTTGCTTCACTGTGAAATAATTGTGTGAAAGTAGAGTTTAACGTACATTTTGTGGAAGTCCTCAACAACTGGCAATTTTTTTTCTAGTGACTAAAATCCTTCAAGCATGTGACAGGTTAAGAGATGACAGTTTGCCAGAACTCGGAGTGAAGCTTGAAGACGTGGAAGGTGAGTTAAAACGCGTTCTTTCTTCTGATTGACATTAATGGATGCCGGTCAGTTACTTCCGGCTGTTTAAACGTATTCGACCCTGTTATGAATAAGCAATGGTTACTTTTCTGTCCTCAAGGTGACCACGCAGTGATAAAGTTTGTGGACAAAGAAACGTTATTGAAGGAAAAACAGCAACAGTTAGAGGTATATTTTTGATCTGTCCCTTCATATGTCCGTTTATGTAACTGTTGTGTATATTTGCTTGTTGCTTATTCCGCGAGGTTTTACATTTTTTTGTTAGGAACAAGAGAAGAAGCGGAAACAGAAGGAGGAAGCCAAAAAGAAGTTGGAAGCGGAAAAGGTTTGACCGGTGACATTGTGTTTTGTTCTTGGGCACGACACTTCTTTTCAAACAATTCACTCGCTCGCCTTCCTTGGAAATTTATCTTACAAGAGCAAATTTACGCTACCCCGATGCATCTAACTTGCCGTGGCATAATTTTCCCATCAGTCGCTCAGCTTTGTCGCTCAGCTTTGGAAAAAGCCTCAAGAGCTTCTTTGTGCTTTTCACTCCGAAATTTATTTAGTTCATTCATTCATTGATGTTCCTTTTTTTCAGGCTGCAAAGGAAGCCAAAGCTAGAATTCCCCCGTGGGAAATGTTTAAACACGAAACAGACAAGTATTCTAAATTTGATGAACAGGTAAGAGACCCTATTTTAGGTACACCGATACCTTTATGGTGTTCTAATGCAATTTGAGTTCGGGCTACCGTCTCTAAATTTATGTCTAAGCTTAAGTTTCTAAATATCGGATAGAAATGGTTTATTAACTATGTTTGATGCTAATCGCCTAGATTTTACCGTTTCAGCGGAATTTCAGCGTTCATCAAAACTAGTCATCTACCAAGACAACCAATTGATTTGCGCAGTTTTGCTGACATTATTCAAAATGATGTGGTTGTTGCCTGGGAACTGTTATGGAGTATTTAGGCACAATATAGTTAAGCAGTAGAGGACTTTTTTTCCGTGTTTGAATAGCTTCTTTGAAATGTTATCCAAAAATAATAATAATAACAATGACAAATTAGAAAAATATGCGCGTCTTAAACGTGACACAGTGTCAACATACTCTTATCTAAGACACACCTATTCACCAATGAGATCCCTTCCATTACCTTACCTGGTAACAGTTCGCCTCTTGTGACTCTGGCTTTACACACTGGTCGAATATCATTATCCTTCAGATGTAGGAGTAATAACGACTCCGTTAGTCTTAGATGTTTTTTATCTTGCTTCACAGGGAGTTCCTACCCATGATCATACGGGAGAGCCACTGAGTGGCAAACTGATCAAAAAATTGAAGAAAATGTACCAGCAACAAGAGAAACTGTATAATTCTGTTGGGGCTGGCCAGGCAGCAAATGGTTCCACAGAAAACTAACGTGACACTAAAATTTAACTGAATTGTAAGACCTAGTGATACAATTGAAATAAAAGGCATAATGAGTTTTGAGTTTGAACTTTAGTGCTTCAAGACCTTTTGGGTTTGAAGTTAGTAAATTGTACTCTCTACTAAGGGCCGTTTATTTCCCAGATTCAAGACCCGATACGTTCATATTTTTTAATTTGCAATTCTTGTTATTTTTAAAGGGCACGATTAGCTTGAATGTCGATGTGAGTTTCAAATTCAGACACATTCAAGTGAAAAGCCATATGAAAAAGTGGCGAAATATGCTAGAAAATTCCTTCAATTTCTTAGTCTGTCGACGTAGTTAATGCGTGAATTCTCTACGGTAAATTATATATTGCATGCAAGGCTAAGCATTGGTATGCAGGTATGAGAACATGTAGGAGGGGTCTGTTCTTCGCATTAACTTCGCTTGTTCTTCATTTTATCCAACTCCACAGCTGCCAGAATCAACACAGCGATCAAAACGTCTGTAAAAGGTAACCTAAGTAGGGAAAAGAAAAACTCTCGACTTTTTGTACACAGCTTATTTGATTACATCTTTCCCGCTGATTTAGTATTTTCTTTTAAGCTTCACCAGAAAAGTTATACGAATATCGAACACCGCGACTTGCTCGTTCATGTGGTGGTTTGTTCATATGTCAATGTGGTTTGGACACCCTTAAACCACGTCACGAAGCTGGCCTCGTCGCAAGCCTGTGCGCCAGCTTCTACAACGTTCGCACATGCACAGACGTTTGATCGCTGTAAAATCCAAATTAATCCTTTAAACCTTAAGATTGACAAGCATTTAATTTCTCCCTACAGTAACACTGCTGAATCATTCACTAAGATCATGAGAATAAAGGAAATTATTTTCAAACTATGGAACTTTGATTGTTAAATTAATTCTCCTCGTCAGTACTAAAGAAAAGTATAGAGAAGAGTATGGAGAATCTGGATACTGATGTTAAGGTTTAAGGGGTTAACATATTCACAAACCGTGATCACAAGCCAGTAATTGGCCGATCAATTCGAAGCTTCAACATCCCTCCTTCCCTGTATTAAGCGGTCACCCATGGGGAATGGTGACCGCATTTACAGGTTGCCTGCTTTATTCAGGTTTAACTGTACCTATAAGAAAACAATGTCATAGATGGTCTCCATGTTTGAATTTGGTAAAAAAGAAAGCAGTTTCTCTTTTCTAGAGGCTTGTGGATATCAAATCTAACTTCTGTGTGTCGTCTCCTGTAACGATCAAAAGGGAGTCCTCGATCAGAAAAGCTTTTTTGTTGACTTGGAAAGAGGTTTCCTTTTTTGGTGGCATTTTTTTTTTTTTTTTTTTAATTTGTTTAAAAGATGAAAAGTGAACTAATCCCATTCTGTGTGGTTCTGTGTAGTTCACAAGCTCAATGTCCGAGATACTGATTCACCTCATTTATTTCCGGCTTCTCTCGCCTCGTGGTATTTTCCGCTGCAAAAGCCGCCATGTAGGAATTTTCTTATTTCTCTTAGTTATCTGCTACATCGCAGCAGTGGAGTCACTATGTATCTAGACTCTTTTCAGGCGAGCAAAATGGTTCGAGATATTGGAGCATTGTGATATCCAGATGTTACACAAACTTTGCAACGCTTAGGGTTTGAGGTCCACATTGACAGGTATTTGTATTCCATTCGAGACAAAACCGTTTCTCCCCAGTAGTCTTTCATTAACTTTAGTAAATGAAAAATCAGAGAGGACTGGGAACGGGTCTGACTCTTCGCGCATCTTAAGTATTTTCCTCCGCTTTCTTCCGGGTGTAGTCAATTATATGACTACAAGATGGCGTCTGCTTGTTCAGAGAGATGGCAAGCTAGTCTAAGCACCATATTGAAGAGAAACAGGTACATGTTTAACAATCCCCTCATAAGTGACATCAAGTTTGCCTTTCCTAATCACGACAAGCGAATAATTCCAGCGCACAAATATGTCCTCGCCATCAGCAGCCCCGTGTTCTTTGCTATGTTTTACGGAGAGCTCCTTGAGAAGAAAGAAACGGTAGATATAACTGATTGCGACCCGGACATTTTCCTGCAATTTCTGCGCTACTTGTACTGTGACGATGTAAGTTTAAAAAATGTTAACCAGGCCATCTATCTGTTGTATCTGGCTGATAAATACGATGTCCCTTCGCTCGTAACCAAGTGTGTAAATTTTGTTGACGGAGCTATGGATCCATTAAACGCCTTTGCCGTCATCCCTCATGCAAGGCGTTTTAGGCATCCTGGACTGGAGGATAAGTGTTGGGAGGTAATCGACTACAACGCCAAAGATATCGTTTTAAGTGCTTCGTTTCTCGAACTCGAACATGACCTCTTAGACCGTTTTGTCGAGCGATCTTCGTTACGCATAGATCATGAAGTATCACTTTTCAGGGCTGTGGATAAATGGGCCCAAAGACGGTGTGAGGAGGAAAACATGGTTGTCAGTGGTTCCAGTAAAAGGTCCTTACTGGGAGAGCATCTGGTAAGGAATATTAGATTTTCACGGATGTCGCCTCAAGAATTTTCAGACGTAGTAATTCCTTCAGAAATTTTGTCCTAGGAGGAGATCATCGATGTGTTTATACAGTTAACTTCGGTCTCCGTCCCCCATGACCTAAAGTTCTCGACTGTCCCAAGGGCAAAAAGTGATCCTAAGAGTATTTCATACCATTCATTGGGCGAAAAATTTCCCCAAAATCGAATCATATTCGACCGTAGCGAAAAGAAAAGTGAATCAGTACAGTGTATGCGGAAAAGCGGAGTGTTAACATTTATGGTAAATAAGCCTGTTATGTTGTATGGTGTAAACATAATTGTCGACAAAGTGAGAAGCAGTCGTATCAGCCTGCCCGTCTTTCGGAAAGACGAAACGATCAAACAAATAAGCAGTAAAAGTTTTGTTACCAAGCCTTCCAGATCTGAAGAGTGTGGAGAAATTGAAGTTTTCTTTAAACCGACCGCTTCCTTTGACCAAGGATACTTGCTACACAATTGAAACAAATACGGATGCAACGGGAAGACAAACTGTGTTTGTTTGGTCGGCCTCGTTTCTGGAATCTTTACCGAAATCTGGGTTTCGTTCGTCGTCAAATTCAGTTTTCTGTTGTTGTTCTGGACGTTATACCGAAAGCGTACCAATGAATGTTGGCTACAAGGGAGAGATAATTCACCTTGTTTATAAAGTAATCAAATGATGCAGCGGACAAGCAGAACAAACGCTATGACTCAATCTCCCATAAACTATATTAGTACTTTGTTTCGATGATTATCTTCATAAAAACAGCAGCTCATAGCGAACTCGAGGAGAAGAATATAGTATCTACCCTATGTAAAAAGTTGGCAGTGAAATATAAGTGTGTTGATTAATGCACGCGTTCACTATTCGATTTCATCACTATTCAAAGAGTTTATTTATGGTACAATAAAAGGAATATGTTTCAACAAGAGAGATTGCAATTTCACCTGTTGTGAAGCAAGCCAATCAGTAGATTGTTCATTCCGAAACTGCAAACAAAATACACGAGGCAAAAAAATTGGAATATAACATTGATTATTTTAAGCTTTGCATCTCTATAATAGATGTTTCTGTATAAATTGTACGATCTTAGGAACTTTGGATTTATCCATTACTTCTGGTATCATGGCATATATATCTGATGCATCTTGCAAAAGACAAGATAAGACGTTTAATTTATAGATTTTAAGCCTCCATTTCGGCAGTCTTGGAGTTTTATGTTCGAAAGTTTAGAATAAATCAAGGTGAATATACCAAGGTGACATCATCCGCTATAAATTTCGCTTGCTGCGGCTTTAGGGTTCTGAAGGAGATCTACAGCTGCAAGAATCGAGGCCTTAACGTCCATAAGTAGCTGATCTTCACGTAAAGTTTTGAAAAAGAAGACAAATCAATAGAAGGACATTTTTGGAACAAAAATTAATGATTAGTGCTTGTTTACACAAAGCTCGATAAAGTTGTTTGCATCCGCTTGATAGTCATGGCCTGAGGCTATTTCATCTACGTATACATATTACAAAGAGAATTTCTTGATGAGTAGGTTTGATTTCGATCAGATTGTCTAGTTTGGACTCTTTTTAATGAAAAAACTCTTAAATTAGTTGGAAAGTATACCAGAAAAATCCTTTCATTGCCAAGTCGGTCGGCAAAGTTAACGCCTGAGTTTTCTTCAGTAACTTTCAATTGCATGCAAGGCTAAGCACCAATGCATATGAAGGTACAGTTGTTGAAGTCCTAAATGTAATAACTGTCCTAAAAGAAATAAAGTCCTAAATGTAATAACATTTGGTCCTAAATGTAATAAACTCCTAAATGTAATAACATTTAGTCCTAAATGTAATAAGCCACCAATGTAATCGTTCAGCTCCTTCAGTGCATTGTTGTTATGGAGGACATCCACATTGAGATGTTAGTGACAGTGGTTGCACCAAAAAACCGCTGACCAGTATACATGTCACATTACGGGCTCGCTGATATCAATCAGCGTCTTTTTACTTGCTAGACATAAGAAATATCAGCAGTCGAAGTATGGTCCATAAAGCGGTTTATTGATCGAGTTGAAGAAAATCATTTCCAGCCCAAAGTGGGCTAGTGCTTGGCTGGAAGCTTAATAAGATGGAATAGATTGGTACGTAATCATTAATTTTTGGAAAAGAAATTGACTACAATTGATGATGAACTAGCATGCTATTGTTGATGTTATCGTTCGTGTTAAAGTCTTTAGTAGTGATGCACCATTTTAGAGCAGTTTGAATGATTTCGCTGTGTCACATGTTAATCCAAAAGAAAATTATTATTATCAGTAGCGTTACTGAAATTTTGCACATCAATGTTATTCAGTGTCAGTTAATTTTAATGAAGCATTTGAGTTCATTTTTAAGAATGACTATCCTGATTTATTCAATTTTGAACTTGGGGTATTGCATTTCTAGCCCTTTATGGCTTTACTTCACCTCAGTAATCAGTTCATGTACCATATGACTATAAGTGGAAACTGTTGAGCTTTCTTTTTTCATTCATCTATATATCTATTCATTTTCTTCCCTCACGGCGGGGAGAAGAGATGAAGACAAAAAATTAAATATAAACTTGAGATCAACTTTAAAATATATTTTTTTCCCAATATTTCGGTTCGGGAACTAATGAACCCGTCATAAGGGGCTAAAGGAAAAAAATGAATGGTTCATTACACCGTCAACTGACCATCATGTGTTGAATGTTGTAGCTCAATGGTTCAATTTGACTCTTGCGTGGAAAAAAGACAACATGTCGAAACCAGTGATCGTGAAATGGGATAACATATAATTGGTCAATAGATATCTTGCTCTGTAAATCACTTTATCATATAGCTAGCAGCGCACGCGGGCAAGATGAAGTGAATCCTGTGTTCTGATTGGCTACCTGAGCGGGCATGATGGGCCCACCCTCGCCCGCTCGGGATTTCCCGTATTGATCCCACGCTAGAAAACTTACGAAGTTCGTAACTTTTGGACAATGTTTGCATATACATAGAAAAAAATGAACGATCCTCCTGAGTTTATTGTGCTGTAAACACAGTTGACTTTCACTATCGGCTCTCGAAATAAACAGGCCATTCTTGATTCTTATCAAAGCGAAATCTTTTGCTATACAATGAATCCTTTAATGATTAAGCCAAGAGAATATAAACTTTCTTGACCAAGCTTGTATGGTCAAGATTACTGGATATTAGCCTCGTTTTTTTCTACTTTTTTATGGACCGAGACTTCGTCTCAGTCCATAAAAACGCAAAAAAAAAAAAAGAACTCGGCTAATATCCAGCCATTTTGACCTCATGCTTGGTCAATAACGCATATGAATATCAGACATAGTTTGAAGCTACACTGGTTTGCAGATTTAATGAATGTAACAGAAGAAGTTACAATTCATAGACCCAACGTTTCGACACTCCTGTCTAGTGCCTTCATCAGGGGTGATCTAAACGCTGCAACAAGAGGTCCTTTTATATGATCACTAATTAGCGGCCTTTTTTCTGACGAGGTGTAAATAGGCGTCAGGAAGCAGACCGCCATCGTCACGATTTAAAGGAGCGTGGGCGGAGTTAATGTGCCATGCCTCCAAACAAAGGCGCTGGTGGTAACGCCGATTAGTGGTGATAATTTTAGAATTATCCCACCCAATTGTATGGTTGGTTAGGCAAGTATGCTCCGATAAAGCTGAATTTTCCTTTTTGCAAAGAAAAACCGCTTTTTGGTGCTCTTTTAACCGTGTACCAAACTGGCGTTTGGTCTGTCCGATGTATTCATTGTCGCAGTCATTGCAGGGAATAGAATAAATGGCGTCGGTTCGTTGTTCTTTCGTGAAAGGATCCTTAGGTTTGGCGAAAATATGCCCCAAAGTCTGAAAAGGTTTTTGAGCAACTTTAACGTTGTGGCTATTCAAAATTCTCTTGATGGGTTCAGTAACACCCTGTATGTAAGGAATAACAGCAAAACCAGTCGCTGGTTCCCTTTCATCAAGAGCGTTACTATTTGTAACTGGTTTTTGGCAGTTACGGAGAAAAGTTTTTGTAGAGCCATTTGCCTTTAGGACATTGGAAACATATTTCCTCTCCTCAGCCTTCGAATCGAGTGATGATGGTAGACAATCAGCCCTCCTAAGTAAAGTTTCGGCTACAGACTTCTTATGGCAAATAGGATGGTGAGTATCGAAAGCGAGGTATTTGTCGGTGTGGGTGGGTTTACGGTAGACACTTGTCTCTTAACTACCCTGAACCCCTCTGGACACATTTAAATCAAGAAAGGGCAAATGTCTATCATTTTCACGTTCGAGGGTGAATTGGATCGACGGCTCTACTGAATTCAAATGCGACAAGAGGCGCTCCGCTTCATTTCCGGATACCGCAGAAATAACATCATCGACATCAGTATCGTTTCCAGGAAAAGGGTTTAACCGGTGAAGTAGCTAAGGCCCTTTGTTCCACGTCTTCCATTACCATGTTAGCAATGACAGCAGAAACAGGCGAATCCATAGCTGTACCAAAAACTTGTTGTTAGTATGTGCCGTTATATGTAAATTGCGTGGTTTTGAGGCAAAAAGACAGCAGATGAATAATATCCTTCACAGGCAAAGAAGTTCTTTGTCCTAGGGAAGCATCTTCTCTGAGTCTTTCCTCCGCAACCTTAACGGCAAGATCAACTGGGATTTTAGTGAAGAGCGAAACAACGTCGAAAGATACTAATTCTTCACAAGCGTCAAGAGTTTGGGAATACTGATTACACTGTCAAAAATTCCTGCGAATTTACGGATTTCATAAGAGATAGACATCTTAGACATCTTCCTTCAGTTTCTGCGTTTCTTGTATTGCGACGAAGCGACTTACGGAGATGAGAACAACGCTATCCAGATGTGGTATTTAGCGGACAAATACAACGCCCCTTCGCTTACGACGAATTGTGTGGATTTTCTAAAGGGAGCTATGCAGTCGCTGAATGCTTTTGATATCATCAAATTGTATGGCAGACAGGTAGGAAAATTACTATTTAGATCTTGGCAGTAAAAGGAATAAAACAGGTCACTAAGCTAGCCTTGTCACCGGCTTTTACGCCAGTTCCTAATCAGTTATCTCTACTATAGACCATTTTGAACTATTTAAAAGGGAAGAAAGGTTTGTCTTTATTGTAACAACTAAGCTCGATCAAGCTGATAACATCGCCGATAATTTGGCTTTTAAATTAATTTTTAGTGAACAGATTGCTCGTCTTGAGTCAATTTGAATCCCAATCAAATTGTTCTCTAGTTGTTCAAATACATTCTAGTATACGAAAAAAAATATTCTTAGAAGTCGGGGAATATACGAGTAAATTTCTTTCACGCTTGAATTGCTTACCGTAAATTTGATATGCATAGGAAGCTGTAGGCATTTCATAATCTTACGAGGGCGCTTTTTCCGCTCTTACATTCGTGTGCTCGCCATTTGATTCAGCTCCACAGCAGCTAAAATCAGCATGGCTGACGCTTGTGAAGAACGGTGGCAGACCAGCAAGAGCACAGTTCTGGAGAGAAACACGCACATGTTTAACAATCCTATTATGAGTGATATCAACTTTACCTTTCCTGATCACGACAAGCAGGCCATTCCGGCGCACAAATATGTACTCGCCACCAGTAGTCCTGTGTTCTTTGCTATGTTTTACGGGGAGCTGCGCGAGACAAAAGAAACGATTGAAATAAGGGAGTCTGATCCAGACATCTTCCTTCAGCTTCTGCGTTTCTTGTATTGCGACGAAGTGACTTACCAAGATGAGAATGACGCTATCCAGTTGTGGTATTTAGCTGATAGATACGATGTTCCTTCGCTTGTGACGAAGTGTTTGGATTTTCTAGATGGAGCTATTTCGCCGCTAAATGCCTTTGACATCATCCCCCATGCTCGGAAATTAAATACTGAAAAGCTCGAAAAGAGTTGCTGGGAAGTGATCGATTACAACGCAAAAGATATCATCGATGGCAATTCGTTTTCCGAGCTCAGTCATGAATTATTGCTCGAGTTTGTCAAAAGATCTTCGTTGCGCATCGACGAATTATCATTGTTCAAAGCAATAGATCGCTGGGCGACAAAACGATGCGCAGATGAAACTAAGGCTGTGGATGGAGCCAGCAAAAGATCACTCCTAGGAGAGGATCTGGTGGAGCATATTCGATTTCAAGCCATGTCGCCTCAAGAGTTTTCAGACGTGGTAATTACTTCAGACTTATTGTCTAAAGACGAGATAATTGATGTTCTAAGGGTGTTATCTTCTGTCTCCTTTTCGCGGAGGTTCAAGTTCTCGTCTTACTCCCGAACACAACGAGATGTGTCAATTGATTCCTATGCGTTAGGTATCGAATATGGCCCTGACCCTTGTCTTCCTTCCTTGCCAGGGCCAATAGCTGGTTACAAGAAAAGTGGAATGCTTACGTTTATAGTGAGGAAGAATATTTCCCTATGCGGTGTAACTATCATCAGACGCGTTTTTTCCCTCGAGGGTAAATCACTTGATCGTCTTGTGAGTGTGTCCGTCACTCGCGGAGGCAAAACTTTAAGAACAGTTAAACACCACAAATATGTCGGGGAAGGAATGCCCGTAACTCAAGGCAGCCGAGTGGCATTTAATGTTCTCTTCAACAGGCCTCTCACGTTGAGTACGAATACTTGCTACACCATTGAAACTTCGACTGAACACATACAAGACCCTAATACCTTTGTCTGGTATTTCCCTCTGCCGCACTCTCTGTCAGATAAACCTGATTCGCCCATCAACAATCCAAAAACAGCTAACAAAGACACCATACTGTCTGGTGTTTGTTCCGGAAAATACACTGAGGCTATCCCGGCTAATGCTTATTACGTAGGAGAAGTACTGGCACTTCTGTTTACAGCTTCTGAATAACGATATTACGATGTATTTCGATGCACAAAGCCAAAATAGGAAAACAAAACCGTGCATGACACCCACATTTAGAGTATGCATGCAGGAATATGCATGCAATAGAATATGCATGCAAGCGAGAATGAGCTGTAGTTCTATTTGGTACTTTAAATCAGTTATAATTTCCGGCCGAGGCTGGCTCACTTGGTTATCAAACCCATACATGTCCTTCCCCCCCCCCTACATGTCCTCACCTCCCCTCACTCTCCCCTATCATTGAAGCGTGAAAAATATGTTTTGACCCTATTAAAAGCTTGTCATTAGCTTAGCCTCATGAAAATTTTAGTTTCGACAGATTGCGCAAACTGAGGGAATATTTCTTACGTTGGCCCCACTCTGCAGTTTTGGCCAATCTTTGCGTCAGCATATTACACAATTATATCCTAAAGAGGAAACTGGATCTTAATTTCCATGCTAAAGGTCTGACGACTCATGTACTTTAAAAATTAAACATTCAGTGAGGACTGGTGTGTTGTTCAGATCTCCAAAGAATTTACACAGCGAATTTTTCTTGCCATGGGAGGGTTAAATTTATCGTTACTAGAATAGGCAATCTGTTGAATACTCCAGAAATCAAGTATTTGCGGAAAGACTGGTTATCATATCTTGTTGGAAATCCACAACGAAGAAGGGGTTCTAGTCTCTCAGTAGACACCTCATTTAGATCTGTTTTTGGTAGTATTGTCATTGCTTTTTCGATTAAAAGAGATGAAAAAGATACCTCTGTAGTTCTTGATTTTTAGTATGGAATTTACGCGATAGTGTAAGTGTATTTAGCAAATTACCATTGTCTGACTTAAATACCTACTCTCATTTATGAAACACTTGCATATCGCGTATACAGTGCACAAATGGGAGCTTGAAGTATACTTTTGCCCATTGGTTTTCATCAAAGCGTACACATGGTTTTTTCGAACTGAAGGTCACTTTTATACTTGCGATGAGGTTCAAATTTGTGTTATCCCTTTCCACCCTAACATCAGTCTGTATATTCTCAATACTGTTCCCCATACATTTCTTCAGGTGCTGACAAAAAGATTTTGTTCACTCATCATGAGCCTCTATACATGGAGATCATTTGCTTTATTCTCATGACCTTAATGTTTGATTTAGCAGTGATATTGTAAGGAGAAATTAGATGCCAATCCTTTTGGGGCTTACAAGGTTAAATCGTGTTTAACCCATGACGTGTATAAAGGCATTTAGTAAAATTTTTCCGATTTATACTGCACGATTGGACGGTTTTACAAAACAGATATTATACTGCATTAAAATCAGTGTTGTCTCAGAGTGAATGAACGACAGACGTGTGAGAAGAACGATTAAACGAAAAAACATGTACAGGAAATGACTTTCAGTAGATGTCAATGAAATCAAGAAACGGAAGAGGTCTTGGAGTGGGCGACGTAAACTCTCCGAGAAAATAATATCAAGAATAAAATATTGGAGAAGCTGTAAGTTCTCACGTCTTTATATTAGTTATCAGACCCAAAAGGGCGGCATTTAGAATGCAAACAATTAGAAACTCAGTGTCGTATTGCATGCATGTGCTTATCGTGTCAGTAATTTATGCATTTATTGCGCGATTTTGTTTTTAAGGCATTCATGCATGAGACACGCGCTTTGACCCCCTTTGGAACCGCCGCATCAGAGTCAATCGTATGATAATCACGGTGCATTTGAAGAGATTTAACGCACCGCGAGCTCCTCGACAACTCCCATCATAAAACATAACTTCGCCTCAAAACTCGCAGTTCGGAAAAAAAAATAAGTTGGAACTTAATCTCGCTTTATCAAGATGGGGTCTTGTATGAGCATGATTTGCCAGTGTCATCTCTGTAGGTGTTGTGAATGCGGTCCCCCATGTTACTGTTGTCGATGCTGCAAACACTGGTTCGGAGATTGGTGGATGTGCAGTGACTGCTGTGAAGATTTCTCTGATGAAGAGTATTACCCAGTTAATCCAACGAAAAACGATAAAGAAGCGCCACCGGATGACGGAGAAGGGATGTATAAATATCCGAACGGGGACGTGTACGTCGGCGAATGGAGACGGGGCAAGCGACATGGCTATGGAGAACTTGTAAAGAAAGACGGAACGCAGTGAGTAGTCACGTACTGCAAACCTTGATGTTTAGTTTATGTTCAATTCAGAGTTTACTTAAACAAACGCTTGTGAGGTACAATCGAGGCATTCAAACACTGCTTCTGTTCTATTTTGTTCTAGAATATTATTAACTGTTGTTTTGAAAACATTCAGTTTATTTTGACGGTTAAATTGACAACGGAGTCGAATGAAAAATTTCGCAATTAGTTTAACATGTCACGCCAGACTGCTTCAAGCCAAGAGCGCTGTAAGTTCCCCGGAAAAAGTGAAAAAAAGGTTCATTAATCATTTTTCTTTGCTCATCGACGAAGCAATGGTCATTGTTGTTCTTATTGTTTAAAAATTGGTTTGTCTTTGTTTTTTTTTTTACATTAAGCATTTTCATAGGGAGCACGTCACATCGGATTGATATTCGAGCGCGTCTTGAACGAAAGTTCGAGTGACTCAGAAAATGTCGAAATAATATCCTAAGAGTGCAGCCATTTGAAATTTCGCAGTAAATTTTACCAAGACCAGTATTGTGAATAAGCTCAATTTTGTTGTTTATCTTTCAAGCATTAATCTCAAAGTTAACATGGCTACTTAAAAAGTCAGATTGGTTTATTGACGAGAAGGCGGCTGTCGAAACGAGAAACTGGTATTGAACACAATTTACATGAACTTTCTTGAAGAATACCCCGTCGAAGGTTTTTGAAACTGGGCAAAAAGATCACCGCTTAGGGGTTCCTTTTTGATAAAAGTCTTGTTGATACTTTAAAAGCTTACTGCTGCTACTTAGTTTCATGTCTGGCGTTTAATGTACATCAAAACCCACTAGAAATGGGGCAATTCAAACTACATTCTTGAGATAGAAGCAGAGCAGAGTGAAGACTTTTCTAGAGAGGAGAAAAAACTATTTATGGTACCGACGTGTAGGTTCATTTCGGCGATTGATCATCTGGTTGCCCTCTCGACTGATATATTCAAAAATGCAGATTTGGTATGGCACCGTTGAATGATCATTTTTTTGGACTTAAATTTTACACGGTGCAATATTTTTTATCATATCGGGTTCCAAAACATTTCCATCAGTTTTAAAAACAGGGTGTGTTTGTATTCGATCTTTAAAACACGTCAAGACCTTGACAATGGGATAAATCATATAACTTTCAGTTGCCTAACAAAGTTAGACGACAAAGGAGAAATTTGCAATTCAATTTGTTAATTCAACTTAAAGTACTTTTTGTTGATATTCAAATTTTGGATGAAAAATGATATTATTCCTAAGGTTTTGAACGTTGTGGAGATCGATGAGTGATTTCCGTCTTCTCTCTGTTCGTGTTAATTGGAACTTCTGCCCATCAACTTAAATTTATTTTCTAACCGTTTAACACTCAAATATCATATCAAATATGCAAGCTTTTGCCCGGACGAGACATACTCTGCCATCTAATATCGAGTGAACCTAATTACGTCACTATGGTAACATCAGCTTTCACCAAAATTCTCAAGTTCTTGTAATTTTTTCTTCAGTCCACATTATCGCTTTCATGGGAAAGGTGTTAACTCGACAAAACAATAAGTTCCATTTGTATTCTCGAAAATACCTGAAAAACGATAATCTCTTGATTCATTTCAAGATCTTTAGAGGTTCAAGTAAGGTTTTTGCGCTCTTGAATATCCGTAGATCTAGAGCGTTCTGAAAAGATATCGAAACAAATCTATAGTAACATTTCACTCGCTCCAATCCCTACTATTTGAGTCATTATTGGAAAAACGTATCAAGTCCTTATGTAAGTGCGAGATCTTTATCAATTAAAAAAAACAGCTTTCTGTCCAATGAAATTAACAATTGGGGGCAGGAAGTTATGTTGCCCCACGCATTCTGTTGAATACATGAAAAAACATCTTGTTTTACAAGAATGCATTTATATCTGTTGTGCTCAGACTTAATATTCTTCTTTATCTCCCGCAGCTTTAAATGATAATTATTATTTTTTACATCTGTTGATTGCGTGGTATTGTATGTCAGTTAACTAGACTGAGGGATGCGACTTGAATGAATTAAAAAAAACATAGTCTCAATATCCAATAAAAAAAGCATTTCTTAGTTCGTAGCTAGTGTTCCATGAGAGAGGAAATTCTTGAAACGTTATTAAAAGATCTATCGCTATTTATTTTCTATCCCAAAAGAAATTATTTTACGGATTACATTAAAATGTGCCCGCTTTCAGCCGCTACATTCTCATAAAAATCCTAATTAAAAGTTGAGTTAACTACTCACATTTAACGATATGTGTTATGACCCTCGCATTACTCGACAAAAGAGTGCGTAAAACTATACGATGAGCGTACTGGTGCGAGAGGCGAGCCTTGAGTAAAGCTTAAAGAGTTCAGTAGCAACATCAGTCCTTGAAAAGAGAAATTTTAAATTTCAGAAGTGATACTGGACTATATTCGTTTTGCTCAGCCGCGCTTCCTGTTATGCGTAAAAAAAACTATTAAACTACCGCCACTCTTTTAAACGGTCCAATGTAAGACTAAAAACCAATGATGACTTGTCTATTCGCCTTTTTCGGCGTTTCAAGACATTTGCAAGAGTCGACTTAGAGTTTTAGGATTTCTCTCTAATGGTCTCTGATCTGATTGACTTCTCTGATGACATTGGTTGCGGTTTCACGACCCGCAATAAATTCGCGCTCTCACCCCACATAACAGCGATCTCCAACCCTCTCCTCCCCCAGCCCTCTCCACCCACGTATCATTAGGGACCTTAAGCAATCCACGACGACGAGGATAACGAGGATCGAAAAACAAAAGATCTAATTGGCAGAACAATAGCTCAGCACGTGCGTCTTAAAACTTTGTACATTTCTTAGCCGTCCTATGCAAAACAACAACGTGAAATCACCACAATTTGCGTTGTCTGCAGACCGAAACCGCGACGGCAAATTATTTTAATTTCCGTTTGGAACTCAACGCTCCTTTTATACGTTATGCGGAAGTTGAGGTGTGGCGCTGTTAGAGACGGTAAACAAATGCAGCCATTTTTTAATTTCTAATTAAAGGCAGAAATTCATTTTTTAATCGAATTCTTCCTTGGCGTTGCCGTCCTGATTGCTTAAGGTCCCTATTATTTCCTACGGTTACTTTAGGTCGTGCTGTCCATAAGCCATTTGTGAGTCTCACTATAAGGCGCATAAACTGTTTTAAGCTTTCATTTGTTATTTCTGGGACTTGATTTCTTTTTTTCAACTTATTCAACAATAGAACTGTTGGCTTCTTCTACGATGATGAATATGTGGGAGAGAAACCGGACGAGAGACTGAGAAGGAGTCCTGTGACGTCAAGACCCTTCAGCAAGATGCAAGTGAACGAAGAGGGCGATGCATCGTAAGTACACATAATGCTTTGAGCTCTAGGAATAGATAAACTCAGTCAAAAAACTTGCATATCTGTTTTAAGTGATTCGCGCCTGCGTTATCAGTCTTATTGTGACCTTTTTTATTCAATAGTGGAACAAGAAAAGAGGATCAAGAGGCGATTGAACAGGCCTGGAAAGAAGAGAAACAAAAGATTAACTCAGATTCGAATGGAGCACAATCCTACTCAACCATAAACAACGGCAAGGAGTAACAAACTTACAACCCCTCACTCTTAGATTCATTCCTACACTCAATTAACAGACTTCATATAAAAATATCGTAATATTTGCATTTATTTTGTGTCTTTTCGTTGGATGCTCGATTCTAAGTAGCTAGTGTAATGTTAAATAAATGTCAAGAGACACGGAGTATTAGATCAAGTACTGTGTGATATTGTGGGGCAGGCCCCTAAGCCTTCGAACGATTCAAATCCAATGAAATTGCAGAGGACAAAATCACAACTATAAGGATATGAATAATTAATTGAAACATGGCAGGCACGAAAACTTGATGCTGAGTAGATAGATTTTGCGCCCAGTAGAAGGTGAGATTTCAGTTCTTTCCTGTGGGTTTGACTTTGGAAAAATTTAATAATTGTGAGGGGAAAACAAGTAAACTTTATTCTTTGCTTCTGTCACAAATTTGTCGATCTTTCTCGGAAGGTCGAGTATGTGTAAAACTGAGTTGTAGCATTTTTCAAGAAAATGGACTACTTTCAGACGTGACGAGCCCAATTTTTCTCTCGTGTATATAGGGCACTGTTCAATATTTACGATTTTCAGTCTAGGACGAGGCCAAGAAAGTTTACTTGCGCGAAAACGTTTGAGTACGTGATACAAGTGTGCGAGTCCTTTATGTTTCTAGGCGACCTCTTGCACGCGCAGGATGCACATCGAAGCTTTTCGCCGGTGCTAAAAACAAATGATCATCCGGCGAATGATAAAAGTTTCCTGGGTTTTTGAAACAGGATACTTAATTTTACCTACGCCACATGAGAAATTTCCTCGTCTTTGAGAATTCGATGTAGAAAGTAGTTTATATAAATTCAAAGTAAAGTAAATTAAATTAACTAGGGTGTAAGTCAAATTCTTCAGCACCGTTCCTTTCACGGTTATGTAAACGTAGGTGAACGTAAATAAAGCTATTTTATTAGAGTTGTGCTGCAAAAACTATTTGAAGTTCGTGTGTTAGAAAATTTCATAAGAATAAACTGTAGAAAAATACGCTAAATGGATCGTATTTTCCACGTAAATGAATGAAATGAGAAATGCTTCTGAGTCGCTAATCAAAACGTACATTGAAGATCGATCATTTTCTACATATCGTTGTAGTCTTGGCTATAACCTCGTTCTCAGGCTCCTCTCTGTCTCCCTCTCTCCTTCCTTCTTTTCTCGAGGGGGTAGGTGAGAAGACCTTGTAACAAGGTTGTGTTGTCGACTGTTTATTTGTTTGTTCTTTTGTTTACAAATATGATAAATTGGCGCGTCAGTATGGGTGGATATATTACTAGAGTTTCCCAAAAACCGGAAAGTGTAAAATATTTCATTCACCTGAAAGTTAACTTGAGCGAATAATGATTCTTGTATGGTGGTATTGAACTTCCTGCGTGCTAAATATACTTAAATGATTGCCTTTTCCTTGGATAAAAGACAAATGAGAGGAAGATCAACAAATTTGACCTTAAAATTGTTTCCTTACTTGGAACTGGTTAGCTCAAATGACCACCACAAACCACATAATACCAAGCCGAGGTTTAATAATTATTCAAGAAATACATTTATAATTCGCAATCAGAACAAACGCAGATCAAGTCTTTATCTCGTAGCTAAATTCAAAAACTTCAATGTAAACTCACTTCTGTGGCGGATCGTCGCAATAGTCTCACTTTACAGGTTAGGAGATTCTTTTGGTAAGCGGATTTAGAGGTAAACAAATAAAGACAAAATAACTTCTTTCTCACTTCGATTCCGCTGAAAAACTGACTTGAAACAAAAATATAACGCTTTTAAATAAAAGTGTAGAATTGATGTCCATCACGATTCTTGTCGTTAAATAAATCTATCAACAAGAGGCGACGCCTACTTGATAAACGAAACAAAAATAACTTGATTTACATTTTTTCAAGTGTTGTGAAATGAAACTAAGGAGTTAAAATATAGGGTTACGCTAACCTCTGGAAGCCTTCTCGGTGTCACCTTACATTACGCTTTCTCCTCGCTCAGCGGTGAGATACGAGCTAACCATGGGAGCCACTTGTTCCAAATGTTGTTTGTGTTACTGCTTTAAATTAGTTGAGTTTGGAGACAGCTTTCGCTGCCGCCATTCCTGTTGCATCCAATACTGTGAACCTTGCTGTCACTGCGGCGACTGTTGCGATGCAGAAGATGATTTACCGTTCGTGAAAGAATCTGAACTAGTTTCAAGCGAAGAGGAAGCTGTTGTTTATCTAAATGGGGATAAGTACACAGGCGCCATGCAAAACAACAAGAAGCATGGATACGGTGAGCTTACACGCAAAGATGGAACGAGGTAATCTGGAAATTTTAAAATACCTTTGCTCGATTAGAAAAGGTTTCATGGACATACAGGTTGTCACAAGAGGGTCAGAAAATTTTGGAAGACTTCTGGAACACTGTCACGACGGGTAGCCCGTTCCCAGAGACGGAACATCATGATCGTGACGAGTGAGTTTTTCAATGTTCTCATCCCTGCGACGGGAATTTTTTTAAGGCTGATTTGTCTAAAAAAAGACACAATCCTACTACAAATTCTGATTAAACCTAGACATAGTTGACGAATTGCTACCCGGCATGTGAAGCACCGCACAAAATTAGTAATTTTATCGCAGATTCAAAGGAAATGTGGAAGAGTAAAAGCGACCAAGATGGGGTGACAGGGGAGGAACGGGGGAGGGAAGTAAAGATTTTGCTCTTTGGTCGACGGGTATGTTGTCACGCTTTCAGTTTTGCTTTTCTCTTCTTGTTCAACAGTTTAAAAGGCTATTTTGTTGATGATCATTTTATTGGCGAGACACCTGCAGACAATTTGGCTGTGGCTAGTGCTACAGATCATGAATCAAATAGGTAAGTCTTAAAGTTCTGAAAAACAATTACTCTGTAACTGGTTAGTGCAATAGTCATACTGACTGATGTTTTTCACCGATTAGTTGAGCTAATTGAGCTAAGTGCTGGACCTAGTCTGATATAATCTCGTACTCAGATCCTACTATGTAACGTGACTGACCGCTTCGCAGTGGGAGGTCTGGGCACAAGACAAAGCCTGATAATAACAGAATTCCTTTTTCCCTCTTTTTTTGTTTTTTGAGACCAGCAATCTTACCTTTGGCTTCAGAGTAACTTCAAAATATCGGTTTAATTTGATAAAAACACCAATTTAGAAAAGGTTAAATTAATAAAATAGACTCTGATTGTCAGGGCTAAATATTCAAAGATACACCGACTGCAATGCAGCTCAGAATGAAATGATAGACCAAAATGATTTATTTTACTGAAAAGTTCGCCATTTGAAGCTCTCTACTTTCATTGTCATTTCATTGCAGTGCTTTAAAGCAAGCCGGATCAAATGTCTCTCATCGTGAACTTCAACCTCTAGCATCTACTGATGGCCCAGAGGAACGTCTTCGGGACACATGATTTGACACGGGCGAATTAATCACGAGGCTGATGAGTCATACTTTCGTTCGTCTCGTTTCCAGGGTTGGAAGCAAGGCTGGTCCACGTAGTAGTTTGCATTTCGACAATTTATTGTTTGTTATACAACAATGCAATTGACCAACGAGAAACTTAATTGAAACTGCGGCAATGGGTTCAAGGCGAAACTGATGCGTAGCAAAAATGAAGAAAGTAACCAATAGGGCTTGGTCATCGTCAGTCTTAGGAAATTAAAACTGAAAGTAATGATATCATTTAAAGGTTTATTAGTCCACTAAGCTACCCATAATATTGAGTGACGAAACTGATTTTCTTTTTCTCGTTCTAATTCACGTCAGTCAGAAAAATTTAATTGCAAATGACAACAGTTGAACAGAAAAGTATAGCTCAGAATGGAACAGTAAGTTTCAAGTAAGTTAGTTCTTCCAATTGTTGTATCTGTTTTTGTTTTTTTGTTTTTTTTTTTTTTGCTCAGATCGTTCCACCGAACGTCACTATGATGTGAATGTAAACCAAATTGAGGCCGATGCTACCTTCACCGCAAAATTAAAGGGATGCCCCTCGGGGATTTAGCCTATTGAAATGTTCTTTGCCGTGACACTCGTTATTGCTGTCAGAAAAAGATACAGCGACGCAGCAAGATTTTACAAAATGAGGTTCACCAGACCATCTTATTGCGATCTGAAAGCATGTCAACTCTTTTTAAGATTAGAGGATTTGATTTTGAAAATAGGGAGGAAGGTGTGGCTAAATGCATCTAAAGGGGCGTAACTGATGAGGGTGGGGGAGGGGAGTGCGGGTGCCCATGACACTCCCTACTTACGTCATTTTCTTATAAGCCCTATAATTCTGGCGCGCGAATCTGATGAATCTGTAGGGCATAAATCTTTTCTAGTGCTAGTTACTCCATTTTCTGGCCCTCTTTGGTAAATAGTAGCCCCTCCCCCTCCGATACACATGGTAGAGCAGTGGTGTAATTAATTGGCAGGTCTCGACCTGAAGATATTTCAAATATGCAAATGTCATTCAGCTCCCTAGATCTGATAAGTGTACATTTTAAACATTAGAGCCTGGGAGATTGCCTGGTGTTATTATCAAGCTTTCATAGGTTTTTCCTTTCTTGATCGCATTAGCCTAAAAGAACGGTAAGTTTCTCATCAGAAGTCTCAAAGTCAAGGTATTTTATGTGGCTCCGTCATTTTCCCGCCATATCTGCCGGTCAAGATGCCCATATATGGAAGGTAATCGGGTTCGGTCGCCATCGGGGACAATCGGGTCCTTTGTTTGCCATTTTCGGCGATAATCGGCTGGCCATCGTTCAGCCGAAGTGCCGGATCCGTCCTCCCGTGGTCGTTGTGTAAGTGTTTGAGGAAGGTGGCTTTTGGGAAACGTCTTACTTCCCAGCGTTCATCACTTGAAGCCCGGCGTGCTTTGCGTTTACCCAAACTTCAGGTATCTGTCGTTTTCTTTTGGTATCGCAGAATGGATCGTATGAATGCTATTGGTGATTTAATATCCGTACGAGTGAAAAATTTTGAGCGTTTATGCTCCTCTACGGCGTATTAGCGAACAACAATGGCGGCCACGGGTTCTTTTACTATCGATTTTGATCGCGGATGGCGCTTCTCAGCCACAAAAGCGGCTTAGTCGCTGAAATTTTTAAAAGATGTTCGAAGCATATTCCGTCGTAGGCTCGAATGACTGAGTTTTTTCGAGCATGGGTGATATATTCGGGGTTAGATTGTGAGCTGTAGCGGTTAAAATTTGAATGTATAATTATGGACCTTGAACGACTTTGAACGCGCATGCTGCTTCGTTTTGTTTAACTGTAAGGACATTGAAATTTTATTCGCGACACGAAGTCAGCGATAGAAAATGGACGATTTAAACTTAACTTCTGCATTGCAGTAGAAGTTTTTTTGAGTTATGCCTGTTTTACTCAGGTGAGCGGACAAGCCAAGTCAAACAAGACCCGAGACTAAATGTGAAAGTTCCCGTCTAGTGTCAAATGTGGCCTCGTTATTGGAATTTTATTCATTTCCTAGACAATTTAATTGAAAAGCTGTCGGTTTTAAGATAATCGATTATATCAAGAACTTGACTTACATAGAAATGAATAGATGTATCAATAATAATAAGTTAGTAAATATAGTATTTTCCTCAATAGATGTTATTCTTTACTCGGGTAAATTTCCAAATTCAGTGGACTTATTGACTGAGTGGGAGGGTAAGATGGGAAAATATGTCACTCAAGTATATAGACCAAGTGCAACAAAGTCTGCTTGTTATGACTGCGGGCCAAACATAGTACAATATGATACAATCAAACTCATTCACTAAGTAATTTATGAAGGATCCCTAAGTTTTGAAATTTTTTTTTTAACATAATTAGGATGTAGTCCGTGTTCAGAAGAAGCCAGCGCTAGACATCTTCAAAAGAATATATAATGGAAAACTTTTCCTTTATTTCTTCAAGTCAGAACAAAAGAAAAACTCATTGAAAAATGTGACTTATTTTCCTATCTCTCAACCGGTTGTTGACAATTGGTATTCATGTTTTTAGAAAATGCAAAGAGCCAGGCCAGTATGGGGTGGCATGTGTTTTGTGGGCTGGCTCATGTTGACCCTTCTTATCCTACTCACTACAGTTTATCATGGTTTTCTCTTGTATTGTGCAAGTAGAGTGGAATGGGTTGTATAATGATATATAGTATTAGAGGATGTTCACATTGGGAGAATGCACACTATTTCAAAAACATTTATAATGAAAGATGAGACACCACTTTGTTTGGGATACATTTTCTTGGTGATCACAATTATCACTTGGGGAATGATGGATGTTATCCATGCTTTCTTGGAAGAGAAGGATTATCATGATAAAGGTCTTTCATGAATAGTATCTGCACAAACATTTCCCATAAAGGCAGTGGGCCTCATTGTTCTCATATCATGCCTTTTAGGTGTCAATTTTTTTTACAATTGAGTGTAGACATACACTTTGCTGACTCAAGTCTACTCTGAATATTTCTAAGTCCTTTTCACCTACTTTTAAAGTTATCTAGAAACATCTCTTTTAGTGCACAATTGCCTGAGGACTGTTCCAAATTTTATATTTTGGAAGAAATGTAGATCACCTTGTGTATTGTGGATTAATACAGTTTACTCTCAAGAACTCAAGTCCTTGCTTTTTCCAAGCTTATTTTAGCTAGAAACGAGTCATCAATCATACCTTTACCATAACCTTCCCCTAGGTTACTTAAACTCTCAGCAAGTGTACCTCATGCTTTCTTGAATATTGCCCCTTAAGAATAGTTTCTTTATGAGTTTACGCTTGACAATTTAGACCATGTTTTTCACACATACACGAGAAGTCAAAACAAGTAGTTCTGTTGTCAAAAACATAAATATTAAACATCTATTTTTTGTCCCTTTTGTGGGACACACAGAGTGTGTCACACATTACCAAAATATATTGCTCTATCCCCCTGATAGAGGTTTATCCAGTGGATAGCAATGGTAACCATGTCTCCTATTTTATGGCTTATTCAGGGTATAACATTTGTTTTAAGCATCCCCCTTCTTCAGCTCACTCATCCACTACTGTAAATGCAATTTTCTGTTTTGATATTCCTAATACGAGTTCTTAGACACATACTGTGTGTGTTGCGTTGTGTGCAAAGTCTCCTTCAACATGATATTCATGCTCAAATTTTTTTTCAGACATTAGCCTTTGTGAGGAAAATCAATGGATGCTGACTTGGATGGAATGATCAAAGACGAAAAGGAGGTGCAATTAGAAGGTACTCTGATTTATATTTAATTTTGGGTATTGAAATGATTTCAAATTTAAATTGACAAATTCCAAACTAGTTGAAATTTTTATAATAATATCTTACCACTTGGAAAATGAAAGATGATTGGGTGTTAAGAAGCAATATCAAAAGCCTTGTCATTGAAAGCACTGTTTAGGCCTATTTACACGGCACGACTTTGTCGCATGCGACAAGCTTACAACAGGCCTACGACATGACTTAAGAGTCATAAGCGAGTTGTAGGTTTGATTTACATGAAACAATTCGTGTCGTAAGCCTGTCGTAAGCTTGTTGCATGCGACAAAGTCATACTGTGTAAATAGGCCCTTAAGGAACTTGAACATGTGTAGGAAAGCAAATCTGGGATCCATTCTTGTCATTTTTTGTTCTCTTCCAATTAGCTGATCCCAAGTTCTGTTGTGCTATTTTTGTGAAGATGCAAATTCAGATTTATTTTCTAGAAATATTTAACAACATCTATCCAATTTATGGTGAACAACCACTGATCTTTACACTAATTGCAAATCTTGAACAATGAATGATTTTTAAATGATTTTTAAATGATTTTGTATTTTAATGATTTTTATCCCAAACTTTGTTACTATCAGAACCAAGTGATCTGGCACCAGTATCTGTCAGTCACATTGCTGGTCAGCCAATCAACTCCACAGAGCAAGAAGTGATTGGTCTGCTATTAGCCCAACAGCAAGTTTTTACAAGTCCCAGTAAACTTGAGCCATCGAGTGTCTATGCAAACCAATCATCTGTTCCCAGTGCTGTAGCAGTGGTTACAGGTGATGTGTTACAGCCACATGACACTGAAAACAAAGCTATTGTCATTGTAAGTGTTACTAATTGTACTGATAAATAATGGTAATAGGACTGAGTGGAGTCCAATTCGGTCTGTATTCATGTGAGTGATAAACAAAATTTGATGACCAAGAAACAGGAGTCTGATTTGCTAAATATTAGTATGGTTACAGACAGAATTGGATTGCACGAAGTCCTGTCACCAATAAATTAAAACCATGACAAAATTTGAGAAAGAAACTAGACATTGGTTACACGTTTTCTTAAAAAAAGCAACAACAGAACTTTAACCCTGTAAAATGGGCAATAACAACCCATACACGTGATGGGTACTGTCCACTCATGCAGGCCTGATGTGTCAACTGTCCTACTACACTGTCAAATTACAAGCATGTAGCTTACACTGTCCTATTAATTTTCAAATCAGGCAGGTGATAACCAATCATATTCAAGAATTTTGTTTTCATTTTGATTAAGAATAGGAGACATTTTTTATGATTAGCCCTTGGTTAAGAATATTATTATTAGCTGAATTGTGGCCATCATTGAGAGAACTGGGGCTTCTCTTAACCAGCCTATGTGGGATTTTAGAACAAGTTACTGTCCTCTTTTCCCCTACTGATGGGTTTACATCCATGAGACGATTCAGCTTGTCTCCTTTTTCCATTATAAATTTGAATTGGATTGGGAGTTTTTTGCCATTGTGGAAGAGGAAACACTGGGAAAGAGAGAACATTCAGGGAAAGGAAATTAATCAATTGTGCCAATACGATGGGAGTTGATAGAACCACGTTACCTCCTCTGATCCAGTCTTATGTTTATCTCAGAATGTAACTTCTCTATCTCATAATTTCATGTGATACTCCAGTTAGAATTCTCATGGTTATTTTGCATTTTGTCAGAGGTGAAATATAATTTGTGTCATAACAACTATGAAAATTAGTCTTGTCTAGGAAACCTACAGAGGATGTGGTGGATTTTGTCCATCAACATGTCTGTACTATCAGCTTTATAATAAGGAGTTTGTCGGGTAGATGATACCAGTGGGTGGGTGTAGCGTTGAGGATAAACCTTCAGATTTGCAATGTGTTTCTTTCTTTTGTTTCCTAGAGTGAAGACACAGATGTTGAAGTAAAAGATACAGACTCAATATTAGTCGCTCAACAAGGAGAGCAAGATGCTGCTACAGCAACCATTATGGCCTCTGTGGATCAACAAGATGGTATGTCAAAAATATTGTTTTACTTTCACTCCCAGGAGTGACCAATGAGTAATCTCTCCTGGCAGTATCAATACCTTTGTTTTATAAAAGGAAGAAAATATCCACCAAGGAATATTATTTTGTTTGATATATAGAACTTAAATCTTAAGTAATGAGGTAACTAAAGATGCATTGGTTTTATGAGAAAAATCTGATCTCTCATGGAAAGTTGATGCCAAGCACAGTGTGTGTCTTACAGTCAAGTTTTTTGTTGAAACTGATTCAAAAAGTCCAAATTTCTAACTTTAATTTAGCTACAGGTACATTATTAGTAATCAGGTACATTATTAGTACTCAAGGCAAAGACTGTTGGTTACCGACTTTCATAGTATGTGGTGGTGGCTAAAAAGAACAATTTGAAGAAGACTGTCTTTTTTCTAATCATCACTCTAACTGTCTGTTTTCTACCCAGTATCTACATGTACTTGCTGTTCTCATCTCAGTCTAGTTTCTTTTTCCCACACAGCCTTATCCTTGGTTTCATATAAATTGGGGTCCCCTGAGTTTGAAAGTAATTGAGAACTGTTGTAGACGGCAGTAAGGGATGCTTTTGAATTTCAAGGATGAGTCAACATCAGAATCAAGTGGAAAGCTTATCAGTTGCAGTAGTTGAATTTTAGATAATTTAATTTCCTAATTGGAATTTCAAGTTTAAGGCTGATCATGATTTCACACTTCAATGACATGACAGAACACCTTGGCTACTCAACTCCTCCTGCTAGAAAAGTGCACTTAAATTTTAAAATAACCTGCAGGTAATGAAGGCTATCAGTCTGTTCAGACCAACTTGGCACCAGGTGACCTCGTCCAATCAGCTGTGGTGGTGAGTTCAACTCCAGGTGGAACTGTGTTTCTAGAACCACAGGCTGTGACCTTGACTGAACTTCCTGGTGGAACTGTGCAAACTCTTCCTGCAGGAAGCACTTTTGAAGGTAAAGTAAACACAGTACAAATTTTTTTCTCAATTTAATAAAGTGGATAGCCTTGTCATAAGTTAAGGGAATTGTTTTTTACATGTTGGCAGTTGAGAGGTTATTTCACATAATTTTCTGTTTCATTAGAGGGTTTAATGCTGTTTAGTACCTGATCAGCAACTCCAGTGTTCACCTTCACAGGCATTTATCAGTAAAATTTACCACCCATACTACCTTTTCTTACTGCCTCATATTGCTTGGAATTCTTGAAAACTCAATGGGTTGAAGGATTTGTCCTCTGGCTTCAAAATATGGTCTAGCTGTTATGCTTAAAAAAGGAGAGAACACTGTTACTCTGGATTGATAAAAATTGGTAAAGTTTTGGTTTTGTGAAGGAAAAACATGCAAAGAGTTTCTAATCTGTTAGGCAAAGACAGTATGATAATAGAAAACTTATCAAAAAATTTATACAGAGGCTTGTAATTTCAAGTCAAATTTAACTTGATTTATTAGGCATTGCAAATGTGAGAGATTAAAGAAAAGGCAAAATTTCGGATCAATATCAGTATCTGGGCAAGGTTGACCATTGACCAATGAGGACTCAAAGTAAACACAGGCAAGGTTAACCTGACTCTGAAGTACTGGAAAACGTGATTTACCAAATTGGGATTGGTTTTGGTTTGCATTTAATTGGTTGAGATGGTGTTCAAATGTCTAAACAAATTACACAGTGAAATAAAGCAAAACCAAAGTAATACAGGATTACTTTCTACACTCAATTAAAAATATTTCAAAACCAATCACAAAAATATGATGGCTGAAAACAGTCGAGGTTTTGACAGACTATCCCTGCCTCCCAGACACCATTATTAACATGTCTACAATCTTATGAAGGTCCACTTTTCCGATTTTTTCTTATTTTCACCATCAAGAGGTCTGCCATGCTTTCTATGCACTAACACATTCCATTTTCTATTTTATTTTCAACCAGCAACTTACGTTCATCAGAGCAGTGATGGAACTAGTTACGTTATCACTTCAGAACCCACATCCTTTGATACAAACTCTTCGGTCTCTATGACAACAATTTCTGAGTCAAACCCTTCTCTGGTGAGTACAAGTGAGACAGTAGACACAACAGGAATTCCTCTGGAGCAGTTTGCTGCGCATCACACTCATCAGGTTGATCACGAAGATCATTCAACCCTATATGTGTTACAGGATGATTCTGGTGGACAGGATCAGGAGGTATGAAAGACATTCAATTGTCAACTTCATTTCAAACATCAGGGGACTTTCTTGTTAACTGTTTTTTTTTTTTTTTGTAAAAGTTGTTGAGATTGCCATTCAGGCAATCATTTTCAATGTTCAGTGCAACAAATCATGGATGTATTGTTAGCATTCGTAGTCAAATGAAATAATAGCCCCTCACCCCTAAGAGATATTTACATCTAACATCACTGCTGAATCGAAAATTTGGGTCACGAGAAAACAGTCTCCTTGTCAGCTCCTTAGGAAATGTATAAAGAACAGTATGGAGACTATCAATGCTGATGTTTGGGTGTAAAGGGTTAACTTTTGTGGTCTCTTTTTGCATAACCAGGCAGCAGCCAAGAAGATTTACCACTGCGTAATCGATGGGTGTGGCAAGCAGTTCTCCACGTCATACCGACTGAAAGCTCATGGACGAAGTCATACGGGAGACACGTTTCGGTGTGAAGAGGAAGGCTGCGCGAAGGCTTTTATCACTCAGAGTGACTTGACGAAGCATGTAAGAACTCACTCAGGAGAAAAACCTTACCGATGTGATCACGAAGGGTGCGGGAAGGTGTACACCACAGCGCATCATCTGAAGGTTTGTGTGTTAGTTCTACCCAGATCTACTGGGTGTTTTTTCTGTGCGGTTTATTTTTGCTAGATCAGGTCGAGGTTAAAAGAAATCTATTAGTAGTGGCTTTGTATACTTGTAGCAACAGTGCATGTAGATTTGTAGAATTGATAATCCTTCCTGAAAAGGAGGATAGCTATGAGAAATAACTTAGTCTCTAATGTTATCGTGGACCCACCTGTGTATGAGGAGTACGGTTTTTAGGAAAAACAACTAAAACAAAAGTCGTATAGTTCAGTCAGGCGTTGACATATTTTCTATCTTTTGGACTGAAACTTAGCGCAGTTTCTCAAATTTTTTTTCTATCCTGAACTCTCTCACTGTATTTTCATTGGAATCAGGAAATTTGAAGTTGCCCTTAAAAAGATTGATCTAATCTTAAAGTGTAATTATTTAAACATTGATTAAATCGACTGACAGTTATCAGTTGCCATAATCAAATGTTCTTTTGATTTTCAGGTTCATGAACGCGCTCACACAGGAGAGAAACCGTTTAAATGTCGTGTTGAAGGCTGTGATAAAGCATTCGCTACAGGGTATGGTTTGAAGAGTCACACACGAACCCACACGGGAGAGAAACCTTACAAATGTCCCCATGATGATTGCGGTAAGGCTTTCAAGACTTCGGGAGATCTGCAGAAACATGTGCGCACGCATACAGGTAGGTGAACAGAGCTCAAATTCAAGGTCAGTGGTTGTTCAATCATCGGCAAGGGCGTGGCTACGATTTTTCAGAGAAGGGGGAAGGGTGACACTATACAACACCCCTAGTACTTACCCTACTGTCTGTCCACCTTTACACTGTGTTTTGCTAACAGTTAAGTTTTCATCGCATGAACAGTGATTGATTCATGCCTCCGGATTCGAGCATTTTTCGAGCGTCTTTGCCTCCTGGCGCCAATTGTTTGAAATCCACTGGATAAATCTCTATGCAGTGGATAGCGTAAACGTTTTGCCATCGCGTGTCCGCTGGATACCGTTGTCTACCCTTGATACGACTGGGACCCGAATTATAAGGTCTTTAAAAAAAAAAAAAGTCATCTCAGAAAAGGGCTTCATAATGTAGTGTATCAGTTTGACTGCAATCCTTGCCAGGTTTCCTCGTACGCTGTAAAATACACTAGAGAACACAGTGAACTGCTAGCACCATTCAGATCTGATAAATCCGTTTCTGAGCTTTGTTTTGCTTTTTTTTTTCAGGAGAAAGGCCGTTCACGTGTCCATTCCCCGACTGTGGGCGCTCCTTCACCACATCTAATATAAGGAAAGTACACATGAGAACTCACACAGGTGAACGACCTTATGTGTGTGAACACGAAGGCTGCGGACGGTCATTTGCTAGCGCTACTAACTACAAGAATCACTCACGAATACATACAGGTACATTACATTCATTGCTGCTGCCAGATTTAACCAAAAAGGTCGGATTTGTCACTTTTTTGAAGACGAGTCCTGTTGATGTCACGGGGGCCTAATTGTTAAAAGCATATTACGGTGGCCGACTTTCTCGTCAAGCAATCTTTCCGAAGAATTGCCTGACGGGCCGAAACTTAATTTAGTTACAGATCCGTTTAAGCCCTACCTCAGGGGAGGGCAAGACACTTGGATGTAACTCTCACTTTGCCTCTAAGCACATAACTCAGGCCACGTATTCATTGAGTGCTCTGCAACATAGTGTCAGAGCATCGAAGCGCTGAATTTGAAGTTTGAATTTCGATTCCTTATAGGAAAGTGAATTTTTGTCTTTTGTTTTGTTGTTTGTTTGTGTGTTTTTAACCCACTTTCGAATAACATCGTTGTTTATTTGTTGTTAATTGACAGGAGAGCGGCCTTACATCTGTCAAGTGATTGGGTGCAACAAACGCTTCACAGAATACTCCAGTTTGTATAAGCATCACGTAGTCCACACCCATAACAAGCCATACACGTGTAACATCTGTAACAAGACCTACAGACAAACTTCCACACTGGCCAATCACAAGAGAACTGCTCATTGTGATATGGCTGACGTTGATAATTTGGGTGAAGGTGAGAAATCTATGCACTTCGCACTTCACACTTCACACTTCACACACAGCAGCATTGAGATGTGTCCGTTGATAGGAAGAGCTGATAGGACTTACGCCTCTTTGTTCCGGAATTGTCCGGCTAGGCTCACTTTCGTAACCGCGTTGTGGCGTCTGTGCGCTTTTTTTGTTATGGCGAAGACAAAACCAAAAATCGAACCTGAGAATAAACTTTCGAATATGTCCCTGTTTCAAAAACATCATTGGGATTTTCGTTTGAGATTAGTGACTACAGATTATGGGCAGTTGGTGTGTTCATAAAGTAATTACAGAAATTACCTGCTCGCAAGTGTCTAACCTAGTGACCTAGGGCAGGCAATATCTGTTTGTGATGTACCCCTTTAAGTAAGTCGTGTCATTCTTCTCAGGTGAATATGACGTAGGTCACGAAGAGCCCTCCAACAAACGTCAGCGGTTGGAATATACAGAGACCATCTCAGGTAACCAAGCCTTCGCGCACGGCGTGCCCGTCGTGATAGCCGACGAAGCCTCCGTAGCCGCGCTACAAGCCATGGACGGCAACTTGGCCGATATTCAGCACCAAATAGCCGAGGGTGGTCACGTGACTGGCCACATTGCCATTCCTGTGGCCATAGCATCCGATGCCGCCATCCAAGTGGAAGGTAGTCTGGAGCATGCCGTGACACTGTCACAAGGGGTGCAGCAGCTAAATTCCACCCTTGCTGATAGCACAGGACACGAGCTGGACATGTCAGTACAGGTTGTCTCCGCACCGCAGACTGTGGTGGTGACATCGCTAGAAGCCGTAACGGGGGCAGGTCAACATTCCGACACTGTGGTCGTAACCTCTTTGGATGGCGTGACGACTACCGCTAGAAGAACGCATGATGGGTTTACCATTGTTGCGGTGCCTACCCAAGGAGGAGGACTGAGTATTGGCGAGCAGGAGAAAGTGCAGGAAGGAGAAGAAGAAGCTCAGAATGATGGACAGGCAGAAACTGAGGATGACTCAGGTACTCTTTAAGACGTACACTGTTGGATTTCAAAAGTGGAAAGAACTGTTTGGTCTCTAGGCAGTGAATGTTAATGGAAGCTTATTGTGGACACTAAAATGTCTTGAGTTGGGGTAAGAGTGAGTTTTCATCTGAGTGTACAATGTGCGTTTGATTTTAACAGGGGTATTGCAATCCCACGAGCCTTCTTTAAACGCCGCCAAGGCTGCTCTGGATGCTGCGCTGGCCTCACAGCTGCAACAGAATGACGTCATCAATAGCGAAGACCCTGATTCGGTTTCGACCGCAGAGACCGCCACTATGGCTACTGCTGTGGCTTATCAGGCGTGAAACAAATTGGAGCACGTTTTGACGTTTACAAGATAAGCCTTCAAATGGGATTCGCAGTGGTGAAATGAATCTTCAATTATGCTTTAACAACCATTAATATGTAAAATATTTTGAATTTTTTTGGTTTTGTTTGTCACTTAAGTTATTTTTCTTTTTTTTGTGTATTTTACATCTCAGTGGAATGTCGACTTTTTCTTTGTATCTTACTTTTCTTGTGGTCGCAAACTAGCTTACGTTTATTCCAAGGAATTTAAAAAACAGTCAGGAGTTGTGACATGTAAATAAAAAATCTGCAAAACTTGCTGGTGTGTTATCTACCAAGAAATTTCGCTCTAGTTACATCATTAATCAAGAGCCACAGACAGCCCTTTACTTTCCGTTTGGCACATCACAGGTAACGATCTTTGTTAAGAACCCTAAATGTATAGTTAGCCTGTTCTGCGTGTAAAGCGAACCAAGACTGAATAGAATAACCTCAGAAGGAGGTTTAACCATTTCTAGCAAGGTTACTCTCCTCTCTGTGGAAGGGCATAACTAAAGATGACAAATAGAGCGATGTTGATCAAAACATTTGCAATCTTACTACAGTTGGAGCGCATATCAATCGAGAAACCCTTTCACACCGAAAAACGCGATTGACTTTGACGCAATTGGTGTTGGTCTATATCTTGTTAGTGGCATTTTTTTTCTAAACAATTCCAAGAACGTAGAAAAGCGAAGCCAAGGCAATCTCGGGGTAATTGAGACTATCGAGGCAAGATTGCAGGATGAGTAATGCCCCATTCACACCAAAGCTTAAACATGTTTAAAAGTTGTTTTGTTAAACACAGGACAACAGAAACTATTTAGCCGAATAACTTGAATCCAGTTGATGACGATCAGCTTGAATCCAATGGCAAAGTTTATAATTTTCATTCAATGAAAACCAGTTTAACAAAACAAAACGTGTGAATTTAAAATTAGCAAACATAGGACAACAAAATTTAAATAATTTGACAAACTTCAAATTTATAGTATTTGATGAGTCAAAACGTGTCTTTAAATTAGAACATACGAAAATTTAAATTTTAGATCTTCCATTTGATGAGTCGGTCTCAATCAAGGAGAAAATCTTCCAAAAGCTTAAAGGAGAAAAGTAGGTAAGTGAAATTCATACATGCCCTCAATGTTTCTTTGAATATAAATGTACACATCATTTATCATGGTGACATTTTAAAAAACACCAGCACGCTCAAACATTTCTGGTTCGGGCACTGAGGTGAGAAATGGGCCAAATTTCTACCGGAATGAGTTGACGAATTCAGCTAGGAATTATAATCAATAAAAACGTGATCTATTTGAATTTCTGTTTATACAGGCGATGTACATAATAGAGCTTTGGCTCAAACTTTTATCCTTCACCTATATCTCTTCTTGAATATGCGGACAATATGATCCTAATATGCTATGTCTCTTTTAATAGAGGGTGCTTAGAACATACGCGTTTTCTCGTGTGAATTACTTGCGTGACGCCCTATTCTGCATCGTTCTCACTCGCGCAGATTTTCCAGAACAAAAGGTCATCTAGTATTTCACACACCCTATGGCTATCTGGAGAGGAATGTTCATGTCTCTTGTATAGACGTTCAGATAGATCTGAATTATGTTAAATACTTCAGTCGTATTTCGTCCCTTCGGCGTTGCCGTGCCTCTCTTTCTTTAGCCTTTTGTTCAGCTCTTTCTTTCATCGCTTGTTTTCTAAAAGAGATACAAGTAATTCATATGAATGTTCCTATTATTTTCATCTTCTGTCGTAGTCTCCCAGATATTTAACGGAAGTCACACGACACTGTTTCGTGAGCGTCACGCAATACCTTCAAAATCCATTTGCAACATAACCAGGGCCAAAAGGAGCTTTTTCTTTCAGCCATGATCTCTGTAAAAGTTTTCTTAAAAGTTCTGATGCACTGTTGGGTAGAGTGGAAGTGACTATTAAATATTATTATTATTATTATTATTGCCTTGATGTTACAACAACTTCTCAGGAAATGCTCACAAAGGAATAATGTTTCATCGTTAGTTAGGAGAATTACCTTAAGATCTAGGAAGTGACAGGGTTTATAAGTTATGAGTCTTTCAAAATTGGTTTTAAAACGGACCCTATTCGTAGACCTTCCCTGTGATGGTTAGAAGTCTAAGGAACGTCCTTTTGGGTGTCTCTCCTCTGGCCTTTCATGCAATCATTCAGACTAAACGAAGGTGTAAACTTTCTTTCCTTTTTTTTTTTCTTCAGAATGAAAATTTTACCTTATCTCCTCATCACTTGCAATAGGTTCTGATTGAGCACCTCCAAAACATGACCCATTGCAACATGTTGTGGCAGCAAATAGATTGCCAGGATCTTTTCCGATGTACTGATTTCGATAAAAATATCCTTGTTTCCTATGGCATCGAAAAAATACGAAGAGGTAAACGTGAGAATTTATATAGTGACCTGGATCCGAGAGGGGAGTACAAAAACAATTGAATTATCGGTTCTTTACGCGCTAACATCAAGGGTACTTTTTATACATTACGCCGCTTTTGTGGTAACATTTTTATGCAAAAAGATCTGTTGGCCACTTTTTTGGTATTTGATAGAGATTACTTTCCTGGAAGATCATCAACCGATGTGTCAGAGAAGTGTTAATTCAACGATGTACATGGACCTGAAGTGTTATCACAAATCACGCTTGCAACTGTCTCTTTGAATGAAAAAATTAAATTAAATTTAAAAAACTATATTTGAACGATCTTCTACGCAGTTTCCTCAGTAGTTTCTGATTTATTTACGTTTTCGGGGGTGACTAGGAGCCCTGTCCCTATTTTATGCAAAGAGAACTGAAAACTTTTTCCACGACAGAAGGGTGCAAAACCACACCCTGGGTAGCGACGCGTCCAGGTGAGAGCGTTTAAAGGCTGGAGGCACCCTCCCCTTCCCACGCCTTGAGCCACCCTCACGCCTTTCCGACGTTTCAGTCACGTGATCTCATTTAAATTAGCCACCATATTGGTGTACATCACTTACCTGTAAACGTATGACCACGAGTTGTTTATTATAAAAAAAAATTAAAAAAGAAAAAAGGTTTAATGCGCGAATTTTGGCGGTGGGACCCGAAGTTGCTGTGATAAAGGAATTAATATGGCAAGAATACCTTCAATTAGTACTAGTAGAGGAGAAAAAGTACGGAAACGTTCCGAGGAGAGGCGAAACAAATGGATTTCTGTGATCAGCAGGGAAGATCTCACTGCACAGACAACATTTTCAGTCAAGGCTGCGTCTGTGGTAAACATTTTATCTCTGGAAAAGTGGCTAAACTGTGGGATCGTCACGATCCTGATTGAGTTCCGACCCAAAATCTAGGTCATCAGAAAGTTGCAACCTTGGGAGACGAGAGAGCCAGAGGTCGTGAGCTGAAACGTGTTCCAGGAGAACGTGAAAGACACCTTCGGGATGAATTAAAGTCCAAAAAACAAAAACTTGATGAACCTGGAGAAAAGGTTATCGACAGTTCCTTCGATATCGAATCAGCAGTGCGCACCAAGCTCAGCAATAGAGGCTTTCTTTTGCATTTGCTGAGGTCAAAATAAAAGTTTTCCATTTCCGCTTCCGTCGGCGCTGGCACTTCCGGTTTCTTAACGGGGCTTTTGGTGAAACAGAAGACTTCCGAGCTCTAAGAAACCTGAAGTCCCTCAATGAGATCCTCTTTCTTTTCATCAAGGTCGTCTTTCATTTTCTTAGCGGATTTAAAGTTAATATCGCGGACACGAGAGTATTCCACCTTGTTTGCGAAACTGGGAAGTATCCAAGGCACTTAATTTGCATACAAGAAAGCCTTCCATTGACCTTTGTCCAAGCCTCAAGGTAAAATAGCACCCTAGCTATGTGCGAACCTGATTCAGCAAGGCCTACCTTACATCCCAAACAATGAGCGCAGTTTATTGTTCCACCCTTTGCGGTAATAATCCAGATTTGAATCAAGGTATCGTTCTGCTGCTAGTGTCGCACTTTTGCCAACACCACGAACTTGTTTCCGATGATATGTCCTTGAACGTTGTAAGCCTCGAGACTGCGGAAGTCTTTAAGTTGTTTTTGCGCATAATAGCTAGTCTCGAGAACCAAATAGCAGTACAAGTCAGTCGATTCCACCGGCGGTAACCAATCAGGCTCGAAGCGTTTCCAATCTATCAAAACAGGATCGATTCCGATAGTCGAGATCTTTTTTAGATAACGTTCTCTGACTTTTACATCCAGTTTTTTTAAACGTGATCAGACAATGGAATTTGGACGACATGGTCTGGATCAGAAGAAGTAATAGAAATTTTTCGGCAGACGCCATACATTTAAATTTTTTCGATTGTAAACTGGACGGAACTATAAATTTGGACCGTGTTTGCATGTAATAATGAATGAATCATGACACTAAGATGGGCACCAACATGGCGGAAATTAATTCTGCAACGTCACGTAAAAATGATCTATGAGGAAATGCTTGAGAAAGACATGCTAGACAGGGAGATTACGCACTTTTTTGTGTTTCAGTTTCGACCCGTTTTAAAGAATGTAAAGTGTAAGTGATTTCGAAGTATCACAAATTCTACATTGAATACTTTGGTTTTGGAATATTTAATTTGGTTCGGGAGCTGTGAAGAAGCGTGTGGGGTTTTTGTAAGAGACAATTGCATGGCATTGTTCACGTGACTTGTGGCATCTTGATTGCTACCTCGTTTGAATAAACATGTTCGCTCATATCATATTATATTTGGAAAGAATCAAGTTCAGCGACACTACTCACACTTCTCCGTTAGCGTGTGTATAAACTCCATGACCGTGCGTTTGATTCCATTTCCATTGCCCTTTGTACGTATCGCCATTTTCGTAGAGATTTGTTCCTTCTCCGTGTTTGAAACAAAGCAAAGTCCCACCATCGTAGCGCACAACGTCTTCAAAATCTTCTCGTTCCACTGAAATACACAGCCCCATTTTGAAATCGTCAATTTTGTCTGTTGGTTCAAATGCGGCCTTTGACCAAGTAAATACTTGCCAATGTAGCAGATCTAATACTTGGGATGATCGCGTGACCAACGCGTTACATGGCCTTCCAACCCTCTAAATATGGGTTTTCATAATCACGATGCAATAACGAGTTGTTCAAGATCTACACTGGGTTGGTCATTGTTTTTTAGCTCATTCATGCTGAAAGCAATGAATGAGGTATTGTGGTGAAGCAGACGTTGACGGAAGTTGTCGACCGTGAACGGAAGTACTCTCGCATGTTACCCCTCCCCACTTAGTGAAAGTCAAAATTAGAAAAATTAGCTCAGAAATTCAAGTGGAAAGAAATAGTATGTTTGTATGGTTTAATAAAAATAATAACCTCAAATCACATTTCCGAACTTCCAAGAATGCTTAGAATTAGATCTCCCACCTGGAAGCTTAATCAAGGAGAACGTAAGTACGTAAGTACGTAAGTGAAATTCCTACATATCCCTAATGTTTTCGAGAATATAAATGTACGCATCATTTTTCATGGGGACATTCTAATTAACAAATAGAGAAGCCTTGACTGTGCTCTGTTCTGTTATAAAGCACGAAGGAAGCGGCTAGAGCACGAAAGAAGTGTAGGGAGAAACACGAGACGTAGTCGAGTGTTTCTTCCCACTTCTTGAGTGCGCTTGAGGTTTTTAAGTCTGTAATACAGAATCTTGAAGTGAAATGTTCAGTGAACTTCAGCCGAATTTTGGCTCATAAAAACACGTGAGTTTTTTCACATGACAAGGTAGAAAACAAACTGTTCAAGGCGAGTGTTTTTTGAATGAACGACAGCCGAATTCACCGGAACATGAAGATCGCTCGGGATGGCAGCGCCGCAAAACTCGGTTGCAATGACTGGTGTGACTTTCCACTCAACGCATCGGAAAGGATATCAGAGCAAGCTCTTATTTTTTCACTCGAAGGCCGGCCGATGTAGTTTCTGAGGCTTGCTTTACCGTGATGACCGGGGATCGCCATAATGAGCGAGCCGCGATGAACTTCAGCATTATCATATTCGCTCAGACACCGCAATGATTAGTATGAATTTTAACAGTTATGCCAGTTTGGTTATATTTTTCATCATTTCTGTTTTGTTCTGTTTTGTTTTTGAACACTAAACTTTATATACTATACGAGTGTTAGTTGTGTTTGATTTTTATTACCGCACGTAAGCTTGCAATTTAACTGAGCGTGAAAATCTTTAAAACTCGGAATGTCTATTTTGTTTTTCCTTTTAATAACGTAAATTACGGCGCCTGGTTTGTTTACAAACCTTTCTTTGGTTGTTCTGTTGCTACTTGCTGGCTCGCTTGTTCCGAAATTTCAGTTTCAATTATCGGAAAAAAGCTAAAAAGAAGTCACGGAAAAGTTTGAACATATTACAATTTGGCAGATAGCGTGACAGCTTTGGCTCAGCTCTATGCTCTATACTCTCATAGAGCACGCTCTTTTAACCAATGACAGCGCGCGTTATATCCGAACTTTATTATAAAAAACACTAGCACGCTCAAACATTTCTGGTTCGCGCACTGAGGTGAGAAATGGGCCAAATTTCTACGGGAACGAGTCAACGAATACAGCCAGGAATTATAAACAATAAAAACGTGATCTAATTGAATTTCTGTTTATACAGGCGATGTACATAATAGAGCTTTGGCTCAAACTTTTATCCTTCACCTACATCTCTCCTTAAATATGCTATGTCTCTTTCAACAGAGGGTGCCAGGAACATACGCGTTTTCTCGCGTGATTTACTTGCGTGACGCCCTATTCTGCATCGTTCTCACTCACGCAGATTTTCCAGAACAAAAGGTCATCCTGTATTTTACACATCCTATGGCTATCTGGAGAGGAATGTTCATATCTCTTGTATGGACGTTCAGATAGATCTGAATTATGTTAAATACTTCTGTCGTATTTCGTCCCTTCGGCGTTGCTGTGCCTCTCTTTCTTTAGCCTTCTGTTCGGCTTTTTCTTTCATCGCTTGTTTTCTGAAAGAGATAAGTAATAATTCATGCGAATGTTTCAATTATTTTCATCTTCAGTCGTAGTCTCCCAGATATTTAACGGAAGTCACACGACACTATTTCGTGAGCGCCACGCAACACCATCAAAAAATCATTTGCAACAATTTGCAACATAACTGAGGCCAAGAGGAAGTCACACGACATTATTTCGTGGACGTCACGCAACACCATCAAAAAGTCATTTGCAACATAACTGAGGCCAAGAGGTGCTTTTTTTTTCCCAATAACGATCACTGTAAAAGTTCTCTTAAAAGTTTTGATGCACTTTTGGGCAAAGTGGAAGTGACGATTAAAGATTATTATAATTATTTTCTTGATGCTTCAACAAATTCTCAGGAAATGCTCACAAAGGAATAATGTTTCATCATTAGCTAGGAGAATTACTTGGAAGTGAAAGGGTTTACAACTTATGAATCTGTCACAATTGGACTCAAAACGGACCCTATTCGTTGACCTTTCCTGTGATGGGAAGAAGTCTAAGGTACGTCCTTTTGGGTGTCTCTCCTCAGGCATTCACGCAATCATTCAGACTAAACGAATGTGTAAGCTTTTTTTTTTTTTTTTCTTCAGAATGAAAATTTTACCTTATCTCCTCATCACTTGCAATAGGTCCTGATTGTGCACCTCCAAAACATGACCCAGTGCAACATGTTGTGGCAGCAAATAGATTTCCAGGATCATTTCCGATGTACTGATTTTGATAAAAATATCCTTGTTTCCTTTGGTATCGAAAAAATACGAAGAGGTAAACGTAAGAATTTATATGGTGACCTTGATCAGAGAGGACAGTACAAAAACATCTGAATTATCAGTTCTTTACGCGCTAACATCAAGGGTACTTTTTATACATTACGCCGCTTTTGTGGTAACATTTTCATGAAAAAAGATCTGTTGGCCACTTTTTTGGTAATTGATAGAAATTACTTTCTTGGAAGATCATCAACCGATGTGTCGGAGAAGTGTTAATAAATCGACGTACATGAATGATCATTGTAAAAATTCTATCCAAAGTTTTGATGCACTGTTGGGCAGAGTGGAAGTGACAATTAAAGATTATTATTATTATTGTCTTGATGAGGTGTCATCACAGATCACAGATCTGAAGTGTCATCACAGATCACGCTTGCGATTGTCTTTTTAAATGAAGAAATAAAATAAATAAATTAAAAAAAAACAATATTTGAACCATCTTTTACGCAGTTTCCTCAGTGGTGTCCAATATTTTTACGTTTTCGGAGGTGACTCGGAGCATTGACCCTATTTTATGCTATGTGAACTGAAAACTTGTTCCACGACAGAAGGGTGCAAAACCATACCCTGGGTAGCAACGCGTCCAGGTGAGAGCGTTTAAGGTAGGAGGCACCTTCCCTCATAAGAGAAGAAAATGCCTGAGAAAAAACAGGAAGATTACGCAATTTAGAGTGTTTCAGTTTCGACGCGTTTTAAAGAAGGCTAAGTGTAGGTGATTTCGAAGCGTCTCAATATCTATATTGAAAACTTTGGCCTTAGAAAATTCAAATCGGATTGGGAGCTGTGAAGAAGCGTGTGAGGCTTTTGTAACAGATAATTGCATGGCATTGTTTACGTGACTTGTGGCATCTTGATTGCTACCTTGTTTGAGTAAACATGTTCGGTTATATTAATAAACTATCACTGGTTTTGGAGATAATCAATTTTAGCCACTCTACTCACACTTCTCCGTTAGCGTGTGTATAAACTCCATGACCGTGCATTTGATTCAATTTCCATTGCCCTTTGTATATATCGCCATTTTCGTAAAGATTTGTTCCTTCTCCGTGTTTGAAACAAAGCAAAGTCCCACCATCGTAGCGTACAATGTCTTCATAATCTTTTCGTTTCACTGAAATACATAGCCCCATTTTGAAACCGTCGATTTTGTCTGTTGGTTCAAATGTGCTTTCGATCAAGCAAATACTTGTCAATGTAGCAAATCTTCTACTTGCGATGATTGCGTGACCTACGCGTCAGTTATATAGCATCCACCTTCTAAATAGGGGTTTTAAATAATCACGATGCAATCACGAGTTCTTCACGATGTACACTGGGTTGGTCATTGTTTTTTTAAAAAATAAACTATCACAGACTACTAAACAGTTCTTTAATGGATTAAAAGCACAAAGCAAAAAGGCTACAAAGAATTGCGCTTATAAGTTTATGTTCCTATTATTTCAACATTTGAAACTTGATAATGACCGTAGAACGGTTGTCACGTCGTTCTAAAAAATTTTTACCGCTTCTTTTTGCTGTTAAATAGAAAATTTACACCGAGAAAAAGCAATAGAAAAGAAAGAGTTACAAGATGGCGTATGTGATCTTCTTACCTTTGGGTTTCAATAGTTTTGAAATTGTAAACCTATTATTTTTTCTCGGAGGAAATTACGGCAAAAGATCACCAGGTCTTCAACTCATGCGCCGATCAATTCGAAGCTTCAACATCTCTCCCCAGGGAACCCACAGGCATTTGACCGTCATCCGTGCCCGGCGGGTTAGGAATTTTCGACTGAGCCTGACTGGGGTGGCGTTTTAGAACCATAAGAGTCAAGTCTTTACAGCAGAATACAAGTGTTATATCCTTAAATACGGAGGAGTTTAAGGTAAATAATTTGCGTTCGCGAGCGAATGGTTCAGAAGAAAAGGTCTACAAGTTTTGGGATTTAAAGCTTGGTCAATGTGTGGGAAGTCACGTTCGCTGATTTTGCTTTTCACAACAAGTAAAAGAAAAGCAAACTCCAATTTGTTTATAGATTAAAATTTGTTTTGACGAACTGTTTTTGAGAGGTTTCACATCCACATATTCTCGTTCTCTCTGGGCAAAAATTTGAATTAAATAGAAAAGATTTTGTTGATAAGACGAACACAATTTTTAAGAAAGGAAGGCCTGGTTACCAGGCAAAAGGGGGAAAAACGAAAGTGCATCGGTCTACCCACTAAAACCGGCGGTAACTGAGGTTTTATTGCCAAGCAAATAAAGGAATATCCAGCAATAGCCATATGCATGAAGTCATTTTGTGCTAGCTCGGTCACTTTCGTACACGCTTCTTGTTAGCGAAACTAGAATGCGTAGACTGGGGTAGCAAAATCATTAACTAAGCGAAATGGATTCATCACGGGCACGCTACAGTTAACAAGAGGTTCTGCATGAAGACAACGGGCAGTCTACCCGTTTGATAATGAAATGGAATTCTATTAATACAACAGAAAGATAGCTCGAAATTGAAATGCTCCGTTTCACTCTTCTTTGCTGTGCCATTAAATCTTACACATACAAAACTAACGTTAATTGAGATTAAAAATCGTCTAGGCGCCATGAAATGAAAGAATGAAACATCAGCCCCAACATTACCGCCCATCAAATGTTTAATCAAAGTCTAGATTCATTACTAAAAAAACAGCATATGTAACCTTACTCACACTTCTCCAGTTTTATGTTTGTAAAGGCCATGTCCGTGTAAGTTATTCCATCTCCATTGTCCCACGTACGTGTCACCATCGCTGTAGTGATACGTTCCTTTGCCATGCCGAAAGCAAAGAAAGGTGTCTCCATCGTAGGGATTTATCGTTTCGTAGTTTTTTGGTTCACCAGAAGCACATAGACCCATATACGAGCGGTAAAAGTTCGGTTAGGAACTGTGTGTTGATATTGTGAACTGATCATAAACAAATTCAGATCTCATGTGAAAAACGAGAACAACATCGCGTGATTTCAAACTTGCGTGACCTCAAAGAGCCCGTTTCCAGGTCCCTTTTAGAGAAGGAAAAACATTGAAATTAACTCGCAAACACAATATCTTCGTTGAACTTCTCGTTGTTCACTTCAACAGATTGAAAATCCTTCCTAACTTAACATAAATGTTGATTGACAGTTTTTGTGAAAATGAAGATGAACAGGTTTTCTTTAGACCCTGGCGAAAGTTTGTCTTTTCCAACCAAGATATCGGGGATATATAAAAATATATCTATGTATTTTTTTTCTTGTTTAGTTCAATCTTTATCTCGCCTTCCTGACGTGAGGATCAGTTTCCCCGAGTGACCTGCCTTCAGGGAATAACAACGCGTTCTCTGTTATTTCTATGCCCCATTGATAGCGAATTAACCGCAAATTATTCGGTTCCTTTTGCGTTTTTCAACCCTGCCATTTCATCACCTAAGCGGAGTACACAAAGCGTTCATTTCGTAAAATATTTATTCAAGTGAAGCAAACAGTAAAATAAACTTCATGTTTGCAATTTTTTTCCTTTTTCCGCCCCTCCTTTGAAAATGAATTTTTTTTTTTCAAATCCTTTCCCATTTTCAAATCTTAAACTTCAAACAAATTGTTTTTGCAATGTAATAATGTTAATTTTGTACTCCTCCTTCAGTGCAAATTCGTAGAACACAATGCCTATCGATCTCCTTAATTCTTGATTAACTGGCTAAGCGTGCAAACAAAACTGCGCGACATACCAGCCGATAATTGGCTGGAGTTGTTAATCCATATTCATAAGATTTGAGTAATTTTCAGCAAACGACGCTGCCTACCGGAAAGTCAAGAAGTGTCGTTCTAGCTGCTGAAGATAAATTTAGTGGATTAAAGAAGACGTTTGACCTGCAAAGAAGAGCAAAGGAAAGCAGTTTTACCCTACTAAAACAGAAGGTGAACAGTCTTTTGAGAAAATATTGTGGAGAGAGCTGAGCGCAACATCTTATTCAAACGAATGAACACGTGTTGAGTGCTTAGTTTGAGCGGCTTTTCCACTAGAAAGTTTATTTTAATTAATAAAGGGTGTCGGCCTCAGCATTTAGAGAAACGAAGGTTGTAACTAATTGTGTCAGAAATTCATCGCTATCTTTCGGTCGAACGCTAAAATAAAGACGTTGGTAATGTTAGATTCACTGGCGGACGTCATTCTGTCGTCAACTCTTTACACCCTAACATCAGTATGCATCTTCTCCATACTATTTTCCATAAATGTCCTTAGGTGCTGATAAGGAGAACTTGTTAACATTCAAGAGCTTCTTTAGTCGGTGATCATTTCCTTTATTCTCGCGACCTTAATGTTTGATTCAGAGCTGATCAATGATTGTATTGAGAAATTAGATGCTATGCACTCTTAAGGGACTTGGGATTAAAAGCAGCCACGTGGAGTTTCAATACTTGTTCACTAAATCATTCCCCCTCAGAATCCTACACCACAAAGATTATGACAAACTTATTTACCTCAAAGCTCCCTAGAGTGTATGTCGTCGTAAGCAGTATTCTAATTTTTGTGTTATTTAAATCAGTAAGCGGTCACTGATCACATCCATATTGATTTCGTTTTTTTCCAGGATGAGGAATTATTGTGAGAAAAATGGGAGGATTGAAAATCTGCTCCTGAGGAGAAACTGGAATGCTGAATATAAAGAGGATACTGTAGAGATAAGAACTTTTAAATTGTTAAATAACATCACAAAAATGGTGGCTCTCTTAATAACTTTTTTTGAGAGAAGTCTCCATTTTTTCGCCAATTTCCTGGTTGGAGTATTCTTGGACTCTAAAACGATGGACTTAATTATTTGGTAAGTGAGTAGTTTGAAACGAGCCACCAATCTTAAAATATTTGTTGCGATACGGATTGTTATGCAGACTTTTCGCGATCATATGGTTATTTTCACTGATAACTATAATTAAGAGCAACTTTTCTCGAAGGAATTTATTGCATTGCATTGAACAAAAAAGCTATGAATTTAACATCAGCATGAACATGGTTAAAGCTGAAAATAAAACTTGTTTCGTCAGTTGATCGCTCTGACGAAGGGCTCGTGCTCAAAACGTATGCTTTAGAAACCCTTCAGTCGTGGTGGCTAAGTTTCATTTTGTTTTCCTAACAATCCGTATCAGAGTTGTATCATAGCTGATGTGACAAAAATGTGATATTTGTTAAGGTGGCACTGAAACAACACTTTAAGAAGCCAAATGAAATTCCAAAATCAATTCATGCGATAAATGAACTAAACTGACCTATTGTAAAATTTCCTACAAATTGCATTTATGAGCACCATCGACCAAAGAAAAGGACAAAACAAAACGCATGTACACTTGACGAGTGCTTGCTCAATGCTTAAACAACAGTTGCCACTATTTTCATTAACCGTTATTGAAGAATTGACTGACTGACGTAAGGCAGGTTCCAGGTTCCTCTCTCGAGGGCGAGATGACAACACCTGCCAGAACCTTACAAATGACTTCATGGCATTTAATTGACAAAACCAACAGACAAAATGGAAAGACAGAATAATATCGAAGGACACTGCTGAAGTTTCTCGTCCAGTAACATCGCAACAAAACTTGCTGCTCAATTACGAACAAAACTTCAAATTTTATATTTATTCACAAAATTCCTGACTTGACCCTATTGATGATTTTCGTCCACGTTGAAACGTCAAACTTTGACATGCATTGGACAACGGCCCTTTTCAAGATGACTTTGACCTTGACTGTCAATGAAACTGCACAAGCGACAAAGAAAGAAACTAAAAACTATCCAAATAGTTGGTCAATTAAAACCAGATTGATGTTATTTAAAGTTGTCCTCGACATGAACAAAAAAAAAAAAAAAACGTGCGAAAAATTTTTATCAACAAAGATGCGAATTTGTTTGTTTCATAGGAATCAAAGTAATCAGTTCAGTGGCATCTTAAAACTTCATCTTCTTGCCATCAGCTATGGTTAGCTTCCGTTTGGAAGCTCTATGTTTAAACACAAATGCCTGATTACAAAATTTTTTTAAGTCCATTAATTTGACTTGTCATTAAATATCAACCGGTCGGTTAGGAAGAGACAGATTTTCACCGTTAGCCCTTTGACCCCTAAGAGGGACTGGCACCGAGTTTCTCCCTAAAATATCAGCCCTGAATCAAACATTAAGGTCATGAGAATAAAGGAAATGATCAGCAGCTTAAAAACTCTCAAATTTTAAAACAAATTCTTTTTCCAGACCCTTAAGAAATGTATAGAGAACAGTATGGAGAATATGCATAGTGATTTTAGGATGTAAAGTATTAAGGATGTTTTGTTTGAAAAATGGCCAGAAAACTTGGTCAAGATAAAAATGATGAAATATATATATATATATGAAGTCTGCAAGTCGATTTTCGATTTTGTGGAACAGTGCTCAATACGTTGAAGCAGAGCAGAATAAATATTATGAGAGGAAAAAAGTACGCAACTACATTTCCCGACAAGCCTGTTTCGTGAATCGCTTCACTCTTCGGGGGTTTAATGAAAGAATATTCATGTGACTATCGTGTATATACTAGGAAAATTTACATAATACGCGGTAAACTTAAAGTTCAGCTGTTGCGTAGCAACGCTTTGTTTCTGTGTCGGCATGAAGATACGAGTTCGTTACGCTTATTTAGTGATGAGAAGTCGGGTCGGTAAATTATCAGGAATTTTTCTTTTAGGCAGAGGTTGCATCTTTTACTGGAGCTGTTGTAGGGAGAGTTAGATGATAAGACGCGCCATGAAATAGAATAGTCAATGTTGTCGTTCTTGAGGGTCCAGATGTGTTTGCTAAGTTCGGTAGAGTTTTTGTGCTTGGCGTGGCGGAATGATGCGGTGTGATTTCTGTGTCTTGTTTTGAAGTCGGTTTCTGTGAGTCCAATGTATGTTTCAGAGGTGTTGTTGTCGTTCCGTGTGACGGTGGCTTGATAAACGACTGAGGATTGAAGGCAGTTACCATTGAGCGATATACACGATAGTCACATGAATATTCTTTCATTAAACCCCCGAAGAGTGAAGCGATTCACGAAACAGGCTTTTCGGGAAATGTAGTTGCGTCCTTTTTTTCCTCTCATAATATATATATATATATATATATATATATATATATATATATATATATTCATAGGCAAGAAAGAGCAGGATTGTCTTAAGTTCAGTTTGCTATAAATTTTTCTAAAGAAAAATTACCAAATATTTCGAGAGATCAAAGAAATATTTCGGCTGATTAAATTTATTTGAGTTATTGCCGAAAAATTAGATTTGCATCTTTCCACCCTACTTTATTAGACGGTATTAATGAATATTGAACGTTATATTGCATTCGCATTGTTGAAACTCGTGCTCCTTCGCGCCAATACTGCAAACAATTGATATTTCGGAAAAAATACAACGCGGTTAAATTTGTCACATGATTGATGAACTATTTAAGAAATTTCAAAGAAGTTGCCGCCAAAAGACAAAGCATTTCAAGTAGAAGTAACACAAATCACAGGCGGCCCAAGCTCCAGCTGTGAGATGATCATCTTACGCAATAACGGTCATGGCGGAATTATAAGAGTTTGTATGGGAATATTTACGAGCGCTCTAAGGAATAAAAAAATACGTCAAATTCTCAAAAAAAAAACCTCACCTCGCTTCCACAGCGTATTGCTTGTTATCTGACCGCTTACTTTGATGAAAAGAGCCCATTTGAGCGAGTTGTTCATTTCGAGGTTTTCAACGTACATAAATGGGGGCTGTCCTGGTGTACCGGTACACGAGGGAATTCCTTTTGTTTTCATAACCATAAATGGAGTTATGACGCAGTTCGTTAATGTTTCCTTCCTTTGTGTACCGGTACACGAGGACACAACCCATAAATGTGCGTTGAAAACCTCGAAATGAACAACTCGCTCAAATGGGTTCTTTTCATCAAAATAAGCGGTCAGATAACAAGCAATACGCTGTGGAAGCGAGGTGAG